CCTCACCCTGTCACCATGCTGGTTTAATTCTGAGCTGATGTTGGCAGCCAGCAGGCAGTTCCTTTGGTGGGTGCTTGTGGCAGCACATCTACCCCCCTGCCCCCTGACCACAGAGAGCTGGTGCATGAAGAGATAACCTGGCCTGAAAGGCTCAGCAAGGGGGCCTCTGGCACCAAAAGGGCTCAGGCCTCAGCTAAGAACCAACATCTTCATCTGGAGAGCTGGTGTGGGAAGAGATAAAAGAAATATTATTGACTAAGAGACCCTGTTTTACAAACTATGGAAGACACACAAGTTAGCACAGAGGCAGAAGCCTTCTACACAGACACACACTGAAATTGTAGGAGACCTCTCCCTGGAGTCTGGACACAAGCTCCATGGTTACTTCCCTGGGGATTGAGGGAAAGGATCTCATGTGTGCTCCACCCACAATGGGATGGTAAGATATATTGGATCCTAAGTTAAATTATTCCTTTGCTAGGTATAACATTAATAGGTACCTTTAACCTGTATTTACCTACTAGTAGTCTCTTTTTGTCCTTATTCCTGTGCAGTATTAGTTTGGTTTAAGTGTTATGTCTGTTAGTTTTCAATTCTATAATAGACCAAATGAGCCATTTTTGAAGAACTTGCAAATGAGAGTGGGGTTTGGGGTGCTGGCCACCTCTAAATAAAGTTACTGCCTGCTGCCAGAGGCCTGGGCAAAAGGCAAGGACTTATTTAAACCCCCACATCCATTTGCAGCCACCACAGGCTGTGCTGAGCACTGGCTCATCCAGGAATGCCTAATGGGACTTGGCAAAGCACAGGGAGCTTCCACTCACTCCTCAGACCCTCTCCCTGAGAGCACCTGTGCAGGGTGCTGCCTTTCCAAGGACTTTCCCAAGTGAGGAGCAGTTTCCTGCGGCTCCCACAGGGCGCGTGAGGCTGAGCCCTGCACGGGTGCACGGTGGAGTTTGGGGACACAGTGGGAGCTGATGGTGCTCTCTGCCCAAGCCGAACTGGGCTCCTTGGCAGCATGTCAAGGATCAGGGCTGGTCTGGCCAAGTTTCTGGGCATAAGCACCAGCAGGACTGGCAAAACTTGAGTGTGGAGAAGATTCGGGGTGTGGGACAAGGGGCATGGTAATATTAAACACAACTCTTCAATAGATACAACAGACACCCTCACTTGCTGCCAACAAATAAAGACATATCTGCTTAACCACTAGAAGTGGTAAGGTTTTCTCTATTTCACGGGAAGTCATGAATCCTTTTAGTGTATATTTTTGCTTAGCACCACATTCTTCTACTTTTTCCCCTCACCCATTTTATTATCTTTTTTATGCTGGAGTATCAAGCACCAAAACAACTTAGTGATGGGGACCCCTGACATATAAAATATATTTTAATGTTTTTTTTTTTTTGTCCTGGAAATTCCATTGTACAGATCTTGCACTGGAAACACAAAATACCAGAGACATCAAGCATATGCAATGCCATTTATTGAAGCTTGAAACAAATATGTCATCATAGTTTGCTTTTTAAACCTTGAAATGTTAGAACAAGCTGTGAATGTGACAAATACACATTTTTTCCTGAGCAATCTGTTGAAGCTGATGTGTCTCGGGCTAATACAATAATATAATGATAATACACCTCTGCAGTTAGTATTCAATTCAGTTTTGAAACTAATGACCATCCGGATTCAGATCATAAATCCACCTTTACTTAAGAACAGTTGTGTCATAACAGCAGTGACACTGCTCTGTTAAAACAGCTCATGTTGTCACAGTATTTTTCCTAAAGTTTTAAGCTGAGAAACACTAATGATTGTGTTTCCCTGGGTAGAACGATTATTCTGAATAATATCCATAATATAATTTATTCACTTTTTATTCATTTCAAATGAAATAACAGCTCCCTGAAGAAAACAATGAAGGCAGAAATGGTTTAACTGCATACTTAAGGAGCACTGGAAAGGCCAATTCCTGCAGGCATTTTCCTCCAACCTGCACCACATCCACTCAGTCAGCTCCTTTCTCATTAGCCCAAATACCTGGTGGCCTCTTTCTGCTGACCTCTGTGGATAAAATGTTACGCAGGTACCTCTATGCACAGAGTAATCTGACTTTGTCCCGTCCAAATCCTATGGAATGCTTTTGGGAATGTGAGGAGCACCTGCACGGCCCACCAGTCCAGGCTGTTTGGCTGTCAGGGAACTGCTCTACAGCACGCAGCCCGAGCCCAAGCCCTGCCCAAATCCTTCCTGAATCAGGCACAACACCTCTGCTCCTGCACATGATTCAGTGCTTCTGTGTCCAGAGGAGTAAAAACTGCCCAGATTTCTATTGCTCAAAGAGTCCCCAGAAGGAGAGAAGCAAACTGTGAAACTTAAAAAGCATCATGTCTGGCATTGGCCAGCAACACCACAGACATATATTATTGTAAGAGTGTGTGCATGCACACACATGCACCATTGCAAGTCATCCCCATGTCTGTTACCCTAGCACCACACTTTTAACAGTGGATTTTGTTTTATCAGCACCTAAAACTGGGGTTATATTGCCACCACAGAGGTTAATAAATCTAACCTTACCATGCTGCATATTTTGAACTCCCAGAGACTTCAAGTGAAGAAGTAAGTCCTTAGCCAAAGGACACAAACCTTTGAAAAACAACAATTTGACTTGTGGCCATCATTAGGTTAAAACATTATAGCCAGGCTGAAATACTTCTATTAACTTTCATAAAGGTCTGCCTAGAAGAAAAGCTACTGTTAGTCATAGTTCTGTAACCACAGTGACACTTGGATTCATGACAATGTGTCCCACCATGTACTGCATAAAATGTGCATTTCCCTGTACTACAATCTGAAATTGCAAGGTAAGCAGGGTGAAAATGTGGGATTTTCGAAAAAGCCAGGAGAACCAAGGTGTCCAAATCCTGTTGAATTCCAGAGGAATCTAAATGTCTGCTCTTGTCCAGCTCTTTTCAAAATGCCCAGCTTTGTTCAAGAGATCTGGTCTTGGTTCCCTGCAGTTTGTTTTGGCATTTTCTTCACTACCAAAACAGATGACTAGAAGTGCCCTCATGCCTGGGGTCCAAGGTATGCAGATACTACTCTGGGCCTCAGATTCCTGTCCCAGGAGCCCTCAGTTCCACTATGATTATGGATTTACACTGTGGGAGAAGTCTGCTGTGAGTGAGGTGGTAGAGTGCCCTTGTGAATGTGGGCTTATGCTGTACCAGGAGATACTGGATGGCATGATAGCTCTACCACTGAACATCTGTGTGAATTACAGAGTTTCCAGTTGCTAGTTAGCCTTTATGCTGATGGTGTAAAATTGATTTCTAAGCATAGTATGAGTAATTCTTGCACGCCACATTTGAAGCTGCAGGAAACGTTTAAGTCTGTAAAGCTGAATTCCATCACATAAGTTAACATGAAATTAGCAAAACTGTTTAGCTGGGCCAGCTTACTGCTCTTTCCTTTCTTTTTCATTTATCAAAGAACAGAAAGATTTCAGCTTTTAAATGCAAAAGACTCAACTTCCAATTGTCCTTACCTACATCAGCTTAGAAGTCTTTTACTTTCTCACTGTGACTCCTTTACTCTTTGTGCTGTGAAGAGTGGAAACCATTACAGTGAAGGTTCCTGGCTCCTCTGTTCAGCAGCTGTAACACTCTTGAACTAAATGGAGCTGACCACTAACACAAAACTGATGGAAGTGAGAAGTCAGGAGAGAGAGAACACCACCCTTTCCAAAGGGTAAGTCCTGAGGTTAAATTTTTGCTGCAGAACAAGCTGGTACAACCTTTATGCTCCATCAATTTCCTGACAGCTTTTCATGTCCTGCTGACATGTATCATTTGTGTCTGAATATCTGCAGCTATAGAGACTGGCCATAGTCTTGAGCTGGTTGCCTTATCTAATTTCAAATGGCCTTGGACAGTTAATTTTAAATGGTGAGGAACTACAGATAATACATAAAAGTGTTATTGCCTGTCTAGCAAAAGATCTGCAAAACCAGATTTTTCTTTATGCTGAAATTGTTCATCTGTTCTACCAGATAGAATGTATAAAACTGTCTGAAAGATATTGCTGGTTTCTCCCCTAAATGTGTAAAAAAGACACGTAGATATGGCACTTAGGGGCGTGCTTTAGTGGTGGACTTGGCAGCGCTGGGTTAGAGATTGGAATTGTTGACCTTAAAAGTCTTTTCCAACCTAAATGATTCTATGACTGTTAAGGTGGTAGATGCAAACGTCTTGGCCTTTGTGGTACCAAGAAATGCTGCTTAAAATATATTTGGGAACTGAACATCCCACATTTTATGGGCTTTTCAGGTTGCAGCAAGACATTTGTAGCAGAAAACTGTCAAGAACAGGTGATGGCTGAGGTATCCTTTAGAGGTTCTGTCAAGTACTAAGCAAAGATTTCTTTTCTCCTGAAAAAAACAAGTTTCAATTCATCCTGCCTATCATAATCAGAAATTACAAAACTCTACTTTAAAGTTTATTAAGTGAGCAGTGAATTTAGAGAAACACTGCCACTTCACCTTGATTCCTAAAAAAGAAAGGCAAGGGAGTATAAAGAGAACTGACCCATGGCACACGTATGTGTCTGTTGCCCCAAGAGCCACCTTCACTAAGCACTCTTGAGTAACCAGTGCTGGTGTTTCAAGTGGGTTTTGGAAAACAGATGGAAAAACAAGTTAAAAAAAATCAGAAAATTCTTGCAAGCCTGTTTCTAGTGTCTATGCATGCCTAAGTAGTACTAGCTGCTGGTACATTGAAAATTACGTTACAAATTTTGGACTATTACAGAGAAAAAAACGGAAGCAGTAAGTTATGACTGATAACCCTAGGTGATGTGCTTTCCCAGTTTTGATCACAGATTTCCATTTATGCTGGATGGTTCAGAAAAAAGTAAGGAACATAAAACCTGTAAACAGAAGCTCTATTCAAGGAAACAAGAAAAAAAAATAGCTAGTGCCAAGCTCCTTGATTGTTGGTTTCTTAGTTTGGAGGTGGTTTTCTTCTAGATTTAGTGTAATTTTGTTGTTTGAAGCCTCGCTGATCCCCATGTCTTGCTTTGTTCCGGTTTCGGGGCTGACTACACGTGAAGCAGCACTGAGTCTGTATTGATGGCAGCAAGCACTTGCCAATGCCTTTCAGCCTCTGGCAGAAGTGAACTGACAGCTGGTCTCTGCTGCAGGGCAGCCCTGTAGTGAATAAGATTACAAGAGTTAGCTGTATTTTGATTACACGCTCCCTGTATTTCTAGAATTTTGAACTGCTTTATATCAGATGGTCATGTCTGTTAAAGGTCTTATTTATGGTGGCTTCCTCTTCCCTTGTATTATGGGTCAGCTTGACCTCCCACTGAAATTCTAGGATCTTTCAGTGAACACATGACCTTCTGTTTTGGAAAACACAGCACTCATGACTGTTCAGTGAGACTTTACTTTCGTGGCAGACATAGCTGATCTATGTTTTCCCCTTCAACTTTTCTCCTGATAAGGACTGCCAGAGAAAGCCTGGCAACAATGATCTGAATTTGGTGCTTTTGCATTCTTGTAATTGCCCCTAAGACAAGCAGGGCTGGCAGGGCACTGCACAGCCAGCCAGCGCAGGCAGGAGAGTGCAGGGTGGGCTGCATGGACCAGTGCTTACCCAGTAGGGCATTTATGTTTTATGGGTCACTTGAGCTTTTATTCACAGAAGTAACTATTACTTCTGTGCAGTATTTATCTGAGTTTTTCTTTCTGAACATGAGAGGGACAGGAAATAAGCAGACCAATCCACCCCAGGGCAAAACATGTGCTAAAATTCTGTGAACAGCAGCAGGAGTGAGGCATCACTCTCAAGAGCATGTCAGATCCACACTGCCCTCCAGAATCAAACCATTGTCTCACTGTCAAATTAGACCCTTAGCACTGACTAATAGGGAAGATCATCTTCCAAAAGGCTTTCGGAAGTTTTTCTAGAAGGGCAGTGAGATGTTGCTGTTCTTATCTGAGGGTACCCTCTGGAGGCAGCAGTACACAGGCTGCTCATTTAAGCTTTCCCTTTCCCCTGATGCCTCTTTTTTTTGGGCTATTAACTATGTACACAGCTGGGCTCCTGGGCCTTTGAAGGACAGAGGTAGAGGACACCCTGACTCACAAAAGCACTTCTCTTCACCTTTTGATTTTGGACAGTCTCACTCTGTGGGACACTGTATATCGTGTCTATAACACTGTAAACAGTGTTTATAGCGTCTGTAAGAATTTGCTTGCTTGCACTCCCAGTCCAGAATTTACAGCTTCCATAGAAGGATCTACCTTAAGAAATGGCATCTGTTTGGACTTATTGTGTGTCCTTCCACAGTCCTCACTGCACCCTGAGTTACCTAAAATAGACCAATAGAAGGAGACCTACTAATTTAGTTGTGTCATCATAAATTAGGGATGCATGCTCAGAGACTGCACTCCCCATCATGGCAACACAAGGCCAGAAATGCTGGAAGAGACAACACTGTGGTTCTGCCACCAGAGCAGCTGAGCAGTAGCAGGCCAGGGTGACCTGTAATTACTGAGCCCACACTATTCAAAAGAAGTTGATAGATTCAGCCAGCTCCCAGTTTTTGCAGAATCTCAGCAGAAATGGAGAAAACTGTTTCATGCATGTATATTACTCTACCTGTATTTTTCCTGCACTCTTGCAGATGGCATTTCTGATATTTTGTGGGCTTGGCTTTATCCACACACATACTGTCATCTTCAGTTTCATTAGTTTCTGTATTCATGCATTTCACAGTTCTCTGCTGAATGCCCCTTCCACAAGAAACAGCACACTGAAAGAGTAATTTTAACACACATAAATATTTTCTACATGGAAATTTTGCAATATGGCAATATTTAAGCTGTGATGTGGCAGGAAGCTAAAACTGCCCATGTGATCCAGAAGCAATGCCATTACAGTACTCTGTGTGCTGTATGCTCCATCCAGACACCTCCAAGGTGCATTGTGGCCAGATTTGGCAGGATACAGCAGAGGGTAAATGGTAAAAATACAGCATCTTGGAATGTATAAACGGGGGGAGAGGACTGTTTTCTACAGAGGAAAAGTATGATTTGGAAAGCCAGTCCTACATCAGAAGAGACTCATAAACCAAATTTGTACAAATTAGGACGATTTTTGCTTCCTGTGTTTTCTGACTATCTAAGTTAAACATGAATAACCAATTGCAATGTTAGGTCCATAAATGACCAAGCTAAGATTTTTTAAAGAAGCCCAATAAGGTTTTGTTTCTTTCCTGGATTTCAAACAGGTGGTTACCCTTTCTTTATGACCACAAAAGAACTGCCAGCTGCTTGTTCTGACTGCACACAGAACGCCATAAATCCCAAACACTTTTAAAATATCTTCCTGTACCACTCTGTAAAGGTACTCAATTCTTGTGACTTCTCAGAGCGTCTGAGAATCCCAATTAGTTTTAAATTTTTTCTCTCTACAGATAAATAGTGCCAGCAGATAAATGAGATAAAGAATTCAGCAGATAGAGAATGTCAGCTAACGAAGCACAAGAGATGAAGACAGGAGTGGAACCTCTGTAACTTTTCTGTAAATTATCCCCTCTCTAATGTGTATCTCTGTACATGAAGCACAATAGCACTGGCACAGAATGAAAGATCTTAGGTATTCTTGCAATAACTTTATATTGACATTTAAAATACCTTTATAAAGTAAAATTATTAATGAATACAACAATATGGGATAAATAAATAAGTTGCTATTACTTTTTATATAAGTTGAAATAGTTGCTATAATTTTTGGTATTCTGTTACTTATTTTATGTGCTTCACTTCTGTATTTAAGTGTTACACCACATTACCTTATAGACATGTCCCATCTAATGGCTTTGTGTCAAAACCAACTCATTGAATTTTCTGTGTTAAATGAGACTCCAATGTTCCCTGTTTTGTGGCTCCTGCTTTTAGCATTACTTCAATATTCCATTATGCTGTGAGGAGTACTTGTAATGTATGCAATGTTTATTAAGGAAACTGGAGTGAAAGGTTTATTACATGTACTACTTTCTTTGTAGATAAATATGTATAGCAATAGATACACATATTTATCTATAAATATTTATAGATAAATATGTATAGCAGATAATAGAAGGTTGCCCAAAGATACACCTCATATTTGTCAATAAGATTTCCAGCTACTAAGTAGGAGGTTATTGGTCAAAATTCAGAATTTCTCTTTGTATGGGCAAGTACACAAATTCTCCAAAGTTGTTTTGAGGATCACCCAATCCCTTCCAACAGCCTCAAACAGTGGAAAATTTCAAACATGCAGTGGAAGAATGTTAATGATGAAACTCCTTTGTTCTTAGACAAGATAAAAGATCCCAGAATTCCAACAACATCTAATAGAGCAGCAAAAAATAGAAGCTACATTATATGTCACCTGAAGGAACAGACAGGGGCTGGCTATGAAATGTTCAGTAATGTTTTCAGAAGTTCCTCTCTTGCAGCTTCAGCTGTGCATAAGGAACTGTACTTGCCACAGCTGCTGATGTTCAGAGACAAGTGGATAACATGACCAAATATGGCCAACTCATGACAAAAAATAAAACAGAAATAAACTGAATCCTACTGGGCTCCAGGGCTGGTGAATCCACTGTGTGCAAGGCTGCCTGCTACATGATGCAATGGCATCAGGTCTCCTGGTCCAGTCACAGTGCCCTTCCCGTGGGCAGGAGACGCGCCGCTTCTGCTGGCCACCGCCACACGTCCTCGAACACTGCCAAAAGAGGGGCACAGTCAGAGCTGGGAAAGGATCAGAAACCAGAAACAGACCACAAAGATGGTTGGACATGTTCATTTAGAAATCTGGGGCCACAGATAACAAGGACTCAGGGTCACAGGCCCATGGGTTCACAAAGATGTACAGGCTTGCCTGGACATCAAGTCCTCAAGTCCCGACATGAGGAAAAGCTCTGCACTGAGACACTTATTCCATATGACTGGAAGGAGACTGAGAAGAAGCTGCCACATGGGAAAAAGCAGCTCCTGGCACATACTACTGGAAAGACTAAAGGGCAGAGTAGAAGTGGCTACACAGACCAGGCAACACAGAATTGTTCATCAACATCACCAACACCAGTAACATCTCTAACAAGAATTAGAGTAGAAGTCATATGCCAGCAGGATTAATCTGTACCATTGACTGAAGACACAACACATTCATAAGATGCAGCATCTCATTTTTTGTGAGGTGGCTGGGGACGTTAAAATTCAATCCATACAACAACTGAACTCTCTGGCAGTAAAAATATCATACAAAAATAGAGACTCAGGTTATTTTTTAAACATTCTTTTGTCCACATTCTAGAATTACTTATTCACCGATTTTTTTACTATTTTTTCACTAGTCTGTAGTAGAGTCTGCTTGAAATACACTAAGTATTTTACACTCTGATATGAAATAAGGTATCAGATATACTTTGAATAATGCATTGTTACTGTCCTACAAGGAATTGCACCTCTATGGACAGAACAATATATCTAACATCTGATAAATGAACCTTTTCAATCCATTTCTACCTGCTGTCCTTAGCATGAGGACAACTTCCAGGGTTGGACTAATGTTTTTATAAAGTATTTTAAGTGGCAAACAAATGCAATCATTCCATTATTTTTATCTTTCCTCCCCCTGCTGATTGTTCTGACAGCCCATCCTGGTCTCCTCCAGTTGTGATTTGTTAGTGCCCTGTGAAGAAAATGTGATCAGCTCCCTTAAAATCCCAAAGCATTAGGTCCACAGGGCTGCAAACATTGTGACATGTTGTCCAGAGCTGCTTTCAGTGGGGTTAAATTCTAAAGTAAAAGCAGGCCACATGCTTTAGCTGATATAAATATGTGTCTGGCTGCCTCTGAGTTGGTTGGCACAGATTTGCGTTACAAAGGGACCGAAAAGTCAGATTTGTCTTATGTCTGGTGTAAGCCTTTGCTCCATAAAATTTCAGTCCAAAAGCGTAAAAAAACATTCTATATTTAATGAGACTGCAACATTAAAACCGCAGCAAAAAGGATTCATCTAAATGAACCACATTTACTGATCCAAGAGGATAGCTGCAACAAATTTCCTTCCAGGCCATCTGCTTCTCCCCTACAGGACATGGTAATTTAAAGCTCCAGCTGTAAGAATGGTTTTGTGAAGCCTTATGAACACCTGTGCTAATTTTTGCTGTAGCCATGCACAAGAACTCACCAGCTGCGTGTGTTCCTTGGAGCACAATTTTACCTGACAGCACGGGACCCAACAGCCGCTGCTACCTGAAAGGAGACCGCTGACTCACAAAGCTTCTTTTAAGGACAGTACCTCACTCCAGGGCTCCACGTGCCATTGCAAGCACGGTTCTGTGTTACAGCTAGTGTTGAGCTGTGGTTTATAGCTGAGTAACTGGCAGTGGAAAGGCCTGAGCAGCCGCTTTTCCCCAACATCAATGCAGTGAACGTCTCGGGTCTTGAAGCCTCCGCTGCAGTTCACAGAGCACTGTACACAAAACAGAGAGGGGCACATCTCCACATGACGAGCCCCACTGAGGGGCTGTACCTTCCCCAGCCACAGAGCAGGAGGACAGCCTGAGCTCTGAGCATCCTGAACAGAGGGAATTTACAGGTTACTGTAACACCAGCCTGTCCTGAGGCTTAAACACAGTGGCTTTCCTCAGAGCAGCCTGGAACACACCATGTAAGTACTTGCCCTGCTACACTGCTATGGCCCATTAATAATATGAATACATATTTAATTGGGAAATCTTGCCAGCTATTTCCAAAAATGTCATAGTGAAAGAGTCATAATGCAATAAATACAAAAAATGGATTCTGTTGGCAGGGATATTGTCAGTTCCTTAGCTGCTTCAGAGAGAGGAAGGGTGTGAGTAGCAGTTCCCACCCTCATCTTCCTTGCACCTCCATGGAACCAGGACAGTTCATACCCCAAGAGCAGCCTCAGTCTGAGAAGGTGGGAGGGAAGAGAGAGGCACCCTGAGCCTCACTCAGTGTGAAATCACTGCCCAGCTTAGAGCTCTGCTGAGCAACTAAGTGAACCCTTCCAGTCTCCTTTTTCTAGCCAGAGCTTCTTCCAAGCCTCATGCAGCATCACCAGGTCCTGTCTCCAGGCACCAAAATTTAGGACCTTTCCTGCTCTTGATGAAGAACTGAATTTGCTACACCAGGGATAAGGAAATATACACATTTTTTCTTCAAGCAGAATTAAAGCCAATTCCAACTGCACCACTGAAAGCTTCTAAGATCACCTTTCACCCTTACCACTATGATACAATAGCAACTGGTAATGTTTTCCTTTGCATAAATAAACAACCTTTAGTTGAGCAAGGAACCTGAATGTAATACTTCCCCTAGGAGATGAAGAATGGATGGAAAGGGAATCCTTACTCTTGTCCACAGGACAGGTTTCTGTCTCTCTGGATAGAAACAGCAGACAGAAGTGACTTTGTAAGAAACTGAGTACAACAGTCTCAAGATACATGCAAATTATATCTGGCATTAAACACAGGCTCTAAGATTTAGTCTGAAGCACCTTTCTTTTAGGGGAGGGGAAAAATTAAATGAGAGTAGAAAACAGAAAAAGCTCTACTGCACTAGCAGGGAACCCAGACATCTTGCTGTGACAATATATCTTCAAAATATTCAAAATGAGTAACAAAAAACAACTGCCACTTGTAAAGCAAGCAAAATTTAACTTTTTTTAATATATGAAACTTTAATTAGGTTTGTATAGTTCACTTGATGGAAAAAATGGAGGGTAACACAAATCTGATAGGAGAAGCCTCTTGCCTCAAACTTGTTTCATAACTGGTCTGACATTTTAAAAATTTGCTTCCTGTTATATTTTATCATTAAACCTGATTGCTAGCTATTTTTCGTGCATGACCATCATTCACTAGTTGCAAGAGCAACGACATTTATGAAGAAAAAGTGAAGGTGAAATTGCCCTACTGCAGCTGGGAGGGCAGGATGTCTATGTATCTCCGAAAATTAATTTCGAAGGCTTAAATGTAGTTATGTAAAGCCTTGGCCTTTCCTGAACTTTCTAAAGAGGCATGCAATTCCTGTACAAATCAATTTTATGTCTAAGAGCTCAATAATAACACAGGTTTTGTAACTATAACTTTTTATTTGTATCAATCTGCCCTCTAGCCCAATGGCAACAACATTGTCCACAGAAGTGATCTATACTGGAAAAGTTTGAGACACCTATCTTTTTCCTTATTACATCAACAATATTTAAAACAAAATTTTGTAGTTTATCTCTTTTTAGCCTTGAAAAATAACCCGTGGTTTGAAACTCAATTTTCAGACTGCATGAAGACAAAATGTAATAAGCTTCAAGAAGTCACCTAAGTCCTTCCAGGTGCTCTTCACACAGCTTAAAATATCAAAATGGGACTCAAGCACAATTCTTTGGGTTCCACTTACCACCCTGGACACTCTTCTGTCCCTTGAACAGGCCATGGGTACAAAACCAGGACCAGACAGAATCCAACACAGAGCAGACTTAGAGGTTATGTGAATGGGGAACAGACCTTGTCAAGAGACAGGACATGGTGACAAGGGTGGGGAGGAACACGACAACTCCCTTTCCCAAATTCCCACTGCTTCTTAAAATTAGGATATGTCCCTGGAGGCAGAGATTTAAAAGATTCCACAAGCAACTATGCACAGCTTTTCTCTGTCAGCTCCACAGAACATGAGCAGAATCCTACTTTGGCTCTAGATGCAAGAGTTAATGAGCACAACCCACCACAGGAAGAACAAAATTCACAGCAGATGTGTTTCCAGATATAACTTGATCAGGAAATTAGTAAATTAGTGCTGAATGGTCAACTGGGAATCATGTATGCACTCACTGAGTAAATAATTGTTTTAAAAATAAAATATTTAGAGTTTCATACCCACTGAAATTTGCAAGCTTACTGTTCATACACAGCCCTGAATGAAGTTACCTTGCTCCAATTTCCTGTTTTCCAGCTAGCACATGGGCGGAGATAACATCTCCTTGCAGGATCAGGCTTTTTCTTGTCCTGACAGTGAGATGTGTTCCTGCTGCTGCACTCCACATGTCTCCAGAAAGCCCCCATTCCACAGGTCGTAGAGCACTGCACAAGGGCAAGAGGAAACCCCAGGAGCAAACTCAACATTAGTACATCATTCTGGAAATAATCCTGGAACCTAAATATAAACATCTAGAGCAATTTTAGATATGTTATCAGAGATATCCAAATGAAGATACAAAATTCACCTAAATTTTACTTAATATTCTGAAGAAGGGCTTTTTGTGGTTTCTTAGAACAATACCAATCCTGATTTATACTATGCACTTCTTTTCTTTGGCAAAGTCCTGCTTACCAAGACATTCTAAATCTGTACCAGCTGTTCCACTGCTTTCTTCTGTTATCTTTGGGGATCCAAAGTAATATGTAATTGCATCCAATCTTCAGCATGTTCCCTCTCTACCCCTAATACTGCTGATGAGAGAGTCAGGTAATTGAGTGCATGATGCTGAAAATCTTAAATAAATATGTGAGAATCTTAGGAAAACTGTGCAGGAAAATGTTTCTCTAAATCATTATTTCAGAAAGTGGCTGAGTGTTTTCAACATCTGGGAGGATTTTTGTGTCTGAGGAAAGAGAATATTGATTATTCCAGTCCATATCCCAAGAGTGCACACTCCCCACAAAAAATTCCAAACACTGTCATTGTACTCTGAAGGGGGTTCAGAAGGGGTTGAAAAAGGCTTGGAGACACTTATTTACCTTTTTCTGCCTTAGAAAGGGTGGGTCAGTGAGCTATACATGTAGAGCCAAATTCAACACACACTAAGCAGCCTGTAGCTGGCATGAGAAACAGCGTAAATAATCTTGGATTAAGTCAGCAAAACAATGAAGAGAGCAAATGCTATTGTGTGGTTTGAACTCCCTGCGTGGCAGTGGGAAAGTTAAATATGGAACGCCGAGTAAGTTTCCTTGGAAAAATAAGAAAACTTAAGGTGAAGCTAAGGCAGGAAAAAAAATCAACACTGGAGATGTTTGATCTCATGGCGATTCCTGAGATACATGTCCAAGTGGCCACAGAGGTCCTGTTAAAGGAAACTGCATACCAGCGTTCTGTTCTTCCTAGTGACACACCTATCCAAGGCAATTCTTCTGACTGAGAGGACAGACTGCCCTTGCCTTGCTTTCTGATGGCTTAATGCCTTCCCCAGCCTTGCTACACCAGCCTGACAACACCAAGACTTCACTGAAGGGATGATTAGTCTTTGACTAAAGCCCCTTTCTGAGCACAGTGAGAAGAGCAAAGGTGGCTCCATGGATGATGCTGGGCAGATCACACTGAGGAAGATTTATATTCTTGTCTGGGGAAGGTGAAACTGCAGGATTCTTTCAAACCCTGTTGTGTGCAGGCAGAGGGTCAAGAGAGAATGATACTTAAATGGTTTCAGGATAAAGCCTGAGCTTTCCTGACTGTTGTTTGATGCTAAGTAAGTTTCTGAAGACATACCGCTTTTCCCTTTGTCATTTGGGAACCAAAATTTCCTCTTGGCACAGTACATGTTGGTCACAGAGGGAGAAAGTGCAGGTGACTTTACATGACCAACAGAAGAATGAGACGACCAGTATTAGAACGAGAGGATCTGCTGGTAATGGAGTATCTTTGCTACCCAGAAAGCTCTTAGGAAGGGAAAAGTGAAAGCCCAGAATGGCCCAGAAAAGTAGTAGGAAAGAAGTAAAATTTACAGAGAAGCACTGGTGGAAATGGGCTCTGTTCTGCCCTCCTCAAATCAGTGCTCTCCCCTGAGGGGACAAGTGCCAGCCCTCTTATGGGACATGTCACACCTTGGCACTATTTATTTACTAGTATGGACATCTCCTACAGAGCAAAGCAACGTCAAAATATTGACAGCTACTAAAAGAGAAAGAGCGCAGCAAGATATTCATCAGGGTGGGTGCAGTGGTCTTGAAATACCAATGCCTTGGAGAGATGTCATCTAGGAAGAGATTCAAAGTTTTACTAAGGATGAGCAAACAGAAAGAGCAAAAATAAAGTCAGAAAACTGTAGACTGAAAATTAATTAAAAGTAATGAACAAAAAGAAAAGGTTCTGTAAATGTCAGACTCAAGGTGTGTATACGAAATAGATAACTTTTATTTAGAATGAAACAGAATAGCAAAGTTTATTAATAGAACCATGGAATGGTTGAAATTGGAAAGGACCTTTGCTCAGGTAGGGCCACCTAGAGGCAGTTTCCCAGAACCATGTCCAGATGGCTTCAGAATATCTCCAAAGATGGAAACTCCATAAATTTTCTTTTTCATCACTTCTTCAAATTTGAAAATGAAGTTCAATGTGCCACACTTCCCATAAAATTTATTTTAACAAGAAACAACAGCTTGAATGAGAGTAGCAAAAGACTACTAAATTATTAAAGAATAACAAAGTTAGATGCATTAAGTATCTTCAAATTGACTTCATCAGTTCTGTGAAACCAAATCTATTAACCTTATCTCTACATTCATTCAAGTGTTTATTCAATAATCTTTGAACTGTTGAAAATCAATTTTTATAATAGATTGGAAAAGCCCCAGAGGATTAGATAAGAATATCTTCCAATTAATCTCTAGGAAAAGAAAAAGTCCTATCTGTGGTCTAATGGAATGCTTTACCCAAGCACACTTCATAAGAAGATAAAAACCAAATTATTAAACAATCAAGATCAAAGTAGCAAATACTAACGAAGATAATAAAGAAATAGAAAAGCCCACGTGGACCCATCTAGAAGAAATAATTAAATTGAGTCTAATATCCTTTTCTGACAGGTGAACATGGCTTAACGAAAATAAGGAGCTGGCTGCTGTGATGCATTTTTATATGATCCTGCAAAGTGTTCTTTCAGCAAATATAAATACAGTTTAGGAGAAATAATCACAAGGTTGGTGTTCAACTAATTGAAAAACTGTAATAAAGTGGCTCTCAGTGGTTCAATGTCAAAATGAACAGACTTTTCAAATATAGTTCTACAGGGCTCCAAAGCCAGGCTCTCTTAGCATTTTCATTAACTGACTGTATGAGGAAAGACAACATGCATTTAAGGCATTTGAAGATGATGACAAGCTGGGAGAGTAGGCAGGAATGTTGAAATCTGAATTCAATGACACCTCACCACAATAAAAGCTGTAAGAAAACACTAGCCTGAAATAAAAAAAAAAAAAGACTACAAAAGACTACATTTAGGAAAACTTTTTATGCACACAGACATACACACACACACATATATAATATATATATATATATATATATATATATATATATATATATATATATTCACACACACAGAGAGCTCCTGAATGTAATTGAGAACTTCTGCTGATCTAGAAATACTGTAGTAGGGATCCAACACTTACAGTGGACCACAAATTAAATACATCAAAACAAGAAGGTTACAAAACAAGACAAATCTCATTTCTGTGTTCACAAAGAGGGTAATATATAAAATGATAATAATTAGTTGATTTTATATGTCATGTGTCCACCTGGACCACAATGAACATTACTGATAAAAAATATGTGATGAAACTGAAGCAAGATCAGACAAGAAAAATGAAGTCCCCAGAAATTTAGAGAACACAAGGAAAATCTCAAAAGAATTTAGATGTCAGACCCCAAAAGAGTTAAGAAGATAATTTTCCTCCATATAAAAAAAGAGAACCCTCATTTTCAGTATGGAAGATGTTTGCTGTTTATAACGAAAATATTTCAAGGTGGACAATGAATGAGTAGGACAGCAGCATCTCTGCATGACAAGCCTTTGCTCAGACTGTGGGGGCTTGGGGCCACAACCATTGGTCTTCTCTTGCAGGGTCTTGCACTCAAGCAGATCTAAAAGCAGGCCTTCTCTTACAGGGATATGTGCAGGAGGGAATGCTCACCTGTCCCACTAGGACATGGGAAACTAAGGCCATTCTCACCTGGCCACAGGAAGGCACAAGGTGAAAGCTCAAACTGCCAGCAGGAGTACATGAACTGAACAAGTGCTGATGCACTGAGGACAGAGCAGGGGCCTTACCCACTGTCTGCATCCAACACCATCTCGGGGTCTAGATATGCCTCCAGTGACATGAGATACACTTAGTCATCTCATCCTGTCCTTTTTGGCCCTGAATTTCCGCATTTCTATGATTGTGAATCATTCCCGGCAGACCCAAGAGCAAACAGGTACAGAGAAACAGACCTTGGATAGCATTCCCCATCAGTGCTGGACAAAGAGGCAGATCAACAGCAGGGAATTTTTCTTTAGTTTGGTAAAAAATGCCACCAAAAAGTGAGATAATTAGTTCCGACACCAACATCTCTCACTTTATAGATATCATGAGTTCAAGAATATAAAATCCTTTAGCATGAAAATAACTCTGTTTACATAAAAATAAAACTTTACTGTGGGAAGGGTATTAAATAAAAGTTGGTAAATTATGGCTAGGCCCCATGATGACTATATTAATTCTCTGTAAGCAACCTAATGTTAGATATCCCAAATTACCACTTTTTTCCGTGATAAATATTTCATGTGTACGACACTGATTTCAGAAAATTGTGACAAACTAAGAAACTCCATTTCCTCAGCAGTGTTTCAGACAGCTGTTCACACTCTCCACTTCTTATGAGCAAAAAATAACTTACTTCACTCCAGTTGCCTACTATCCAGTAGGCATCACTGGGCAAACTGTTGGATATTATTACGTGGCTGTTGTCTGTGACATTCATTAAAACATCTTCAGATGCTGCACTTTGGCTGTTCAGAGCATGCTTGGGAGGTGAGGATTGTGTGCTAGTGGTTACGGTGTCAGGCAGCTTTATTTCTTCTCTGCTGTCAGTCTGGTCCCTTGGGGCACTACCAAGCTCTGTGGGCGTTTCTGTAACCAGTGCTTGTGGGGTTGTTACCTCTACAAGAGGTACGTCAACTTGCAGACTGACATAGTTTGCTGCTGTTGGAAATGCCAGCCCTTGTGCTGCTCTGCTAACAGGATTGAGCCCAGAAAGGTCTCGGTGATGAGATGCTGGTGGGGTCTGAGAAGTCACACTCTCCTTCTGAGTGACAGGAGAGGCAGTGTCCGAGGTTGTGCTTCTGGTCCTGATTTCAGGATTGAGTTCTGTGCTGTAAAAGACATCATCTGCTTTCTTGCTGACTCCAAGTGGCCCATCAGTGTTGTCAGAGTCCTCAGTTAAGTAATCATAGCTGGAAGTTATTTCTGGGTTACTGGTAAAAGAGGAAACAGGAGTGTCCTCACTTCTTTGCATCTCCCTCTCTGTAGTAGAAACTGGCTCACTTTTAGAAGTGTTTTCAGCATGCCTTAAAATTTCAGTACTTAAGCTGTTATGAAAAGGCCTTGAAGTACTATTTTGATAGGAGCTATTTTCAGTAGAAACAACTGGGTAATTGTAAACATCACTTGATTCAGCAAAATTACTTTGTAATGTCCTGTTGGCTGCTCCCTCTTTTCCTGAGACATTGACCAAACCAGAGGATGTAGGCAAACTGGGAGTTACACTTTCATGCTTGGGTATTTTTGTTGTTGTATGGAACCTGGGGCTTGGTCTGGGCATTCTGCGAGGAAGACTCCGTTCAGGATTGGCATTTGTTTTTCTGATTATGATCTTGCCTCTTCTGGGTGCCTGTGGGAGAACCAGAAATCTTCCAGCAGAAGGGCATTGCTGAAGACCACACAGGGCCTTAGAGTTTGGTCTCTTGGAACTATCACATGGCTCATCATTATTTTTGGCACAAGTGACATTACGAGTCCTTATTCCACCACCACAAGTGACTGTGCACTGCAAATGAAACAGAATTAATGTATCTCCCCTTCACAGAAGTATCAGATGGCATTTGTTTATAATAAAGAAGTATAATGACAAATAATAAATTACAAAGCTTTTCCTGAAGAACAATTCATTCTAGTGATGTTCTGCTACCATGGAGTTCTTTCCAAATTTTTTGACAGTAAATGTCACCTTGGAGAAATAGCAGTGAAAAAAGACTACATGATAGAGACAAAATATTAAATTAATATGATAGAATTAAATTTCTTCATTGACTCACAAAGTCATTTAGCCAATACCTTTTCCACCAGATTTATAAAAAAGCAGACTAAAAACCTGGTATTGAACCCACACCTGACTGGCTGAGTGCTGCTCACAGTGCCACAAACCTGCTGTGGTGATCCATGCAGCTCACAGACCCTCGCTGACTTTATGAAATGGATTTTTCATTCAGTCTTAGTACAACCATGAACTGCTGCCAGAGCTACTAGCATGTCTGCCCTCAATTAGAGACTACCAAAGTAATTAGCCAATCTGGCTTCTATTTAAATGAGAGCTGCTGTGTAAAAAGAGTGCTGGGAGCTAGGAGACCCAGCTTTTCTGTGATGTTTTTCATCCTCAGGCCCACAGGTACAGCCATGCCTTCAACAGCTGTCTCTCAACTAAAGATTTTGTAAAATCACTCTTCTCTGGTTGGAGATACTAAGGCTGGATGAGTTGAGTAGGAGTGGAGGTGTTACAAAAAACCTACTGGAAGAATTCTTCCTAGGATGCAAGGAAACCTAACCAGGTGCTCAACATGAAGTGATGAACTCTCCTTTTGCCAGGACTTCATTGTCCCTGGCACATTTAACTCCTTTTAGAGCTAGTCTGGGTAACAGGGCATTAGAAACACCAGTGACTTTGTGTACACTCTGCTGTAAAATAATATCAGCTCTGCAGCAACAGGAGCAGGAAAGCAACCAGTGTAGCTTCACAGCAGACAGCTTCATCAGCTCCTGTCATTTGTGCAGGTGAAATACCTGTCCTACACTCTCTCTCCAGTTTCTGCAGAGGTAAAAATGCATTTTTATCAGTAAGTTGTAAACATAATCCAACAGCATGTGAGCACAAGCACTGTGCCATTCTTATATAACTGTACTGCTAGTAATGTAAACCCAATCTATTTTTTCACAGGTATTTAAAACATGGAGGTTACTCAATTAACAAAAAATCAATATTCTGTGATGATGGTTTGTGAGCAGCATAAACCAATCCAATACAGCCACAAGATTTTTTAGTTCAGTATGCGACTCTGTTCTCATAGCAGTGAGTCTAATGAAAAAAAACTGAGGAGAAAGATCTTCCTTGTAAATACTATCTTCCCTTCAAAAAAGAAGGGAAGATAGTATTTACAGCAGGGAGAAACCCTCAACAGTCATCCCCTCCAACTGCCTGAGCACTTCATGGCTGACCAAAAGTCAAAGCATGCTGCTAAGGGCACTGTCCAAATGCTCTCTTAAGCACTGACAGGCTGGGGACAATGAACACCTCTCTAGACAGCCTGTTCCAGGGTTTGACCACTCTCCCAGAAGAGAAATGCTTCCCAACGTCCAACCTGAACATCTCCGGGTGCAGCTTTGAACAATTCCCATAGGTTCCCAAAGCTATGGAAAAAAAGGCAGAGCCTTGGATGCAAGAGATATGAACGTAAAGAATTTAAAACCACTTTGCTGACCTACAGAGATGACAGCAGTCATCCCCCTAGTCTGGCCCACAGCAGCCATTGCTCTCACACAGACTCTAGCACTAAGCACACCACGTTCTACAGTCCCAAAAGCTCAGCAAGTTAACACACAGCACTTTCTGAAGTCTTTAGAAAGCAGGGTTGGGGTTTTTTTCTGCACAAAGGATTTGTGAACATATTAAACTATAGAAAAGTATTTTAGAAAAAAATGTTAAAAGGCGTAACAGCAGATCACTGGTCCTTTTTGCTGACTATAATAGGTCATTTTTGAGAAAAAGTTCAGTCTTTCAGCTAACAAGAATTTACCTCAGTCCAGTTGCTCACTGTCCAGTCAGATGGGCACAAGATATCTCTGTTGCATGACAGATGGGTCTTTGGTTTAAGCAGGTGCTGGCACTCTGTGATGTCCAGTGCTTGCTCATCAGATCCCACTGTCTGGATGCAAAGTACAGTTCTCTTCTTCTGGCCTGTTGGGCCACATGTGGTCGAACATTTCTGCCACTCCCCTGCCCACCACCTGAAAACCAGCAGGGTGAGAAACATCAGAAAACAACCCACCACAAGCATGTCAAGGAAAAGGTCAGAGACTGCAAGAAAAAGAGCCAGTAATTTAAAATCTGGGCTCAGATCTAAGCTCTTCACATTAAGTTCAGATTACTCAAGCTCTCCCATCCACCCTGTGCTCCAGTACCAGCCAGTCAGTGAAAGACAGAAGACAGAAGTAGGCAGGATTTCCAGACAAAAGCAGGCAACAAGCATTATGCTTCAATAGTGTAAAAATCTACTTAGTAGGGAGTCCTTCAAATCCAAATCTGAGGAACTGCTAGCAAATCTACTTAAGCAAGTAATCGATTTACTCTATCCCATTGTTTGTTTATTGGTACCTCAGTACAGAAGAGTTAACAAATGAGAATCACTGGAGAGTCTGCAATGACAGCACAGAGGTGCAAAAGGTCCCTTTACCCACGTCTAAGCAGCCAGGACTGCACAAATACTCAAACTGGCTCTCCACAAGGGTTACCTCCCTCCATAAGGCATCTTCCCATTAGGGGAAGTAGTGAGGCATACAGCCCCAAAACCAGGTTAGTCAGAGCTATGCTGCATGGCATCAGTGCCCTGCAGTACTGTCCCTCTGGGCATGGTGTCCAGGCCTGCAATAGGATGGACTTTCCTGTATTTCATTCCTTAACTAAGTAGAAACAAGCCCCTTATGTGTCTCTGTCATGATTAAAGTCATTCTTCTATACTGAGGTATGCAATTTTCCACCAAACTGAGGGTAACTTTCCTCTATAACAGTATTTTCCAGTGCAGAACACCTTACCAACAAGAGCTGTTCCCTTTACATTTGGTTCACCTTAGCATTTCTCCAGCACCATCCGACTATTTTTTCTCATGCTGACCTAGAGCAGATTGTGCACCTGCATATATCCCTTCTGTGATAAGAAAGAGAAGCAAAAATTTCCTGGTTTCTACAGTTTGAGAAGCACTGGCATCAGCTGTGACATTTACCTGAAGATTTATCTTTATAGTTGAAAAAAAAAGGAAAAAACATCACACCAAGAAAAGCTTTTTTCCTTCAGTTAAGCAAGCCCCAAGTAAGAATACAACTTCAAGCTACTGCATAAAAAATCTGGCTCAGCTCTAAACTCTAAGGCACAAAAGCTGCTAAACAATATTGCTTGTTCCAGAGTTTTCAAGGAGGTCACAACAAAGCCTTATAGTGAAAACAAAGCAGGAATATATTCCAAAAACACCTTTCTATTAAAAAGGCACATAAAATTGCTTTTGGCTTACAACCAACACTATTCTATTGGTTTTGGCTTTTTGGGTTTTTTTTTGGTTTTTTTGGTTGTTTTTTTTTTTTTTTGTTGTTGGGTTTTTTTGTTGGGTTTTTTTGGTTTTTTTTTTTCTTTTAAGGTCCATGAACTTAGACACAAAATAATCCTATTCTGATAAATACATCAAAGTTCAGCATCCAGATTTATAAAAGTTTTTATGCTTTGTCTCTGTTGATAATCCCTCTCCCCTCCCTACAGTAGAGAGGGGAGAGGGATTCCTTAATTCATTTTTATCTCCATTGTAAATGAGCTGCCACTGATGTGGAAGGCACTGGTATCTATTCCTAATAATTAAAGAAAAAACAACCCAAACAATCAAGACTCAGAGCCATCAAGCTATGATACAGCTTATTTGTGCAGCCATCTGGTCTTCTCTGTGGTACCTACACCTATCTTCTTCCTATTTAGTAATCTATACATACATAGCATTTCCTTTTAAGTTACCCCAAAGCCCCTCATGCCACTGACTGCTTTGTTCCAGAATGCAGTCCACTGCACCACAAACCAGTGCTAAGGACTTCGGACCAGATTAAACTAAAAAATATCCAAAAATATCTTTCTAAATAAACTAATCTTTCCAAATTAAACTAAAAAATATTCCCCAAAATATCTACCCTAATAAAATATCTACCCTAAATATCTTTCTCCTCCTCTTGCCTTCCTTCAGATTGTTTCTTGCTCTTCTAGGTCTGCAAACAACAAAGGAACTCTAACAAGTAAATAAAAAGTAAGCCAAACACAGCAATAAAAAAAAAGAAGTAAATTATCACCAGCTGAATCAAGCCATTTCAGGGTTGTTATCGTCTCTTGCATCTTCTTTACAATTTTATCTCTTCTATAATCTTGTAAAATGCTGACATTTCCACACAAATGGAACATAAATATGTGAACTGCTCTATTAATTTTAATGGGACCAGATTACATATTTCGAGGTACAGATATGCTAAACTGACACCTCTTCCCCCTCAGCATTTTCAAATGCCTCTGACTGAGGGTTTAACAACTGGTGCATTGAAACACCAATCTCCAAGCAATAAATTATCAGATCTTACCACAGAACCTACCTTGAGCAGCAGTAATGGCATGTGATTAACTGTCGTACACAAAACACTTCTTAAAGCTGTGGAAGTAGTCACAAAGTCAGGTGCTCCACAGTTAGAAAATCCCAGAATTAAGATTTTATTCTATTCCATCTCCATGATCAAAATAAAACTACAGTCAGCCAGGTAATTTTTTTCTGTAGACTTCCTCCTCACTCAGTGCAGGTAACTTCAAAAAAACTTGCTCTAACTGGAAGTTTACTCTTAATAGTAACTGGAATTTTTGATGTTGTGTTTTCTTATTTTCATCCTAGGGTACATGCATATGCCTAATAATCCAAGAGTCAGAAATCTGACATGGAATCACCTGTGCTCCTGTCTCTTCCTGGTTTCTGCTTGAGGACCTGAACTGCAGCATCTCAGCCAAAGGGGAACAAAGGCAAAGCAAGGATGGAAAAACAGCCAACATCCATTTGTCTGTTCTGGCACAGGATGCTCCGGAGCAGGCTCTGGACCACAAAGAAGAGAGTAGCACCTGAGTGACTGCTTTGCCAAGCTGTGCTTGTCTTGGAGCTTTTGCTGTCTCCTCACAGTGCAGAGGCATAACCAAAACTGGACGTGACTGCCACACACATCCAGAATTAACACAGCAATCCGAGCTCTAAATATGCAACCTCTGAGAGGAAATGGCCAAGATGTTGGATCTCCCAGCCAAGTTAAGACTGTGGTGAGAGACTGGGACAAGCTGGTGGGCACTAAAGCCTCATGGGAGTCAGCAGCCAATACTGGATTCTGATTCTAGCTCTGGCATTTACTGCTACAGCAACTGAATGGTTCTTAAGTATTAATGCATCGACAGATCCCTGCAAAGTGAAATGACTGTCTTATCTCCATAGGCAGGCATGGCACAGAAAGACTGTGGTAGCAAACAAACAAACAAGCAAAATGCACAATTTAGATAATTAATTTGCATGAGCACTGTTTTTCCTCAGACTGTCAGAAGAGAGAGCAGCCTGTCTGGTGAAAACATAACTTCAGGTAGTTTTGAGCTGCAGGTGTGAGTGTTCAGCTCTTCTGCAATCAAGCCTGGGACAGAAATAGGAAGAAAATCTCATTCTTTCAGGTGGCTTTCAGCTGCCTTAAATGAGACTTATCTTTTCCTCACAAACTGGGTTTCTGAGGCTTATTACAGAGTAGGCAGAGCCCCAAAGCCTGTGACATAGTCCCCAGCTATACACAGAAGATGTGTGAATCCTGTTGAAAAAGCAATAGCATGGAATTTTGGGGCTGTGGAACCCAAAGCTCCCTCCTTCCCATCACGGCATGTCACACCTAAAGAGAGACTGTTAGCTTTCATGTATTTATCCAGCATCAGGCACAGCAAATTCCAATGGTTCACGGATTCTCACTCTATGCATTGGAATAGAAACCAAGATTTCCTATTCTTATTATGCTATTGGAAGTGTACTAAGCAGTCTGGAAGCAGGACAATGCAATAACAACAGATAAAAAGTAGCAGATTCCAAGTACTTTTAAAATAATCTATTTATGGTTACTCTGTTCAAGTGGGTAGTCAAGTTAAAAAGGCTCCAGACAATTTTCTTTACAGGGGAAAGCAAAATTATATTCACAATGCTATAAGTAGTTAAAATCTCACTCTTTTTCAAATAGTATCCATTGATTTTAACATTAACACCTATAGGACTAAATACCTGCCCACCAAAGAAAGATTCAACTGGAAATCATACTCCACAGCATGATGTGGAAAAAAGCAAGCATTTGTGCTACAGTCTTGATGCACTGCATCTAAGCAATATCACTGAAGCAGCACATGAATGGCTGTATAACATTTTAACTCTCAGCTGTCCAGCCACCTTTATTTTGTTCTGAATCAAAACATGGCATACATGTATTGTGATTTTTTTTTTCATTTTCCTCTGAATTATTTTAGGAGAAAGTATAATAATAAGTGTAATAATAAGCATAAAATAAATACAGAGTAAATCAGCTGGCAAGAATGTTATCCAGCTCAGATTTCTCAGAAGTAATTTAAATTTGTAATTCTAAATCTGTAATTTAAACAGTTTACAACTGACTTCCTCAAATGGATTAATGAGATAAGATCTGGTTTGTGAGAGCCACAACCATTTTATTCTTTGTCTGTAGCTTCTTTTTGATAAATTATCTACTTCTTATTTAGTGGTATAGTAGCATGTTTTTCATCAGTGTGATTTAGTAGAGAACAGCCATAACTTTTCGGATAGAACCTACTATAAAGCACCTGGTTCACTTTTGAGAAGTGGTTCACTGTTGAGAAGTGCAAAGTCATCCAACAATTTCAGTTCTTTGGCTGCAGCACTAAACAAAGGTCTCCTGCAGGGTTGTGTTTAACAGCACTGTCCTCACCTCTGGCACAGAATTTAGCCACCTCTCTATGGAACACTTTGTCCTCAGCAGCTCCACATGGACTCTCAGTTATCCCAAATAATGCCATGAGGGACAGTCACACCTGCCTCCAGCATTCAGACCTCCTTTAGAAGCAACAAACTGCACTAAGTTGTCTTGGGTTTCAAAGGAAGATTAGTCCATCTGTCTGCATTAGAGGTGACACATGGGCAGGGAAAACTGAACAACTAACCCCATGTTGGGACTACAGGCTGGAACAGAGAGCAGATTTACAAGAGGAAGGGCTTGGGAAGAGTGAGCAATAATTTGTTCTTTGCTGCCATCTCTTGTGCCACAAGAACTCAGGGCCACCAACAGAAGACAGTGAGAGCCATGTTCCAAACAGTTAAAATGCGGTGGTGCTTCACTAGTGCCATGGTGCTTCTTGCAGAGGAACTTCTATGTAATAGAAGTTTTTCAAGGCTGCAGGGAGAGGCTGGATGAGTAAGGTTCATTGGAGGTTACTGATTAGACAAGCCATAAAAACCTCTGGAAATGCCTTGAATTAAAACCAGTTGGAAGCTGGAAGAGCATTACAAAGAAATCTGATTTATGTTTCACTTATTCCTCTTTAGGCATGTAGGACCTGCTGAGAGCCAGAACAGGGACTTGGTCAAGTTCCTACAGTCACTTTTGTGTTACTAAGAGAAAAATAAATATACAACATGACTCTAGAATTAAATACATATGGTTTTCCTGCACTGCACTTTGTTGTGATTTTGCTGTCCTTAGAAGGATGACTTGTGGTTTTCCCTGCAGCACAGAATGAGCTCAAGAAGCATAACAGGCTGTCAGCACACAAGAGCTTTTCTGCCTGGTCTGCAGAAGAGTTTGGTTTATGTGCGACTTTGTGCAATCTGCTCAACAAGGGACAAATGCTCCTCTCTCACATGCAAGAGCAGGTCTGAATAATGTTGTCACTTACAACAAATGGCATAAATTGTTCATAAATTCCCAGTTAACTGGGAATTTTTTTAATTGATAGTACAGTTTATATGTGCCATGAAAAAAAACACTTCAATGAGTATGGGTAGCCCCAGCTCTTAACTAGTCAAGTAATAAAAAGTTTGGTCTACTTTCAATTGACTTCCTGGCAATCTACAAAGAATTATGAAATGCTGGTAGTCCATGCTGCAAGCACAAAGATGTAAATCCCACAGAAGCATCGTATACTGTTATGAAGATACTTGGAAAGAACTAATAAAACCAACAACCACAAAGAACTTTTAACATCAAAGTCTCATGAAATTCACTACTGGCAAATGCAACGCAACGAACCCCAAGGACTCATTGCTTCGATTTGACTCTGATTGAACTAGAATTACTAGGGAAAGACTGGTGTACCTTCGTGAACAGCATGATAAACAACTTTCACAGACAATAGAAGACAAAACCAAAGTATCTAAAGCATGAAACAAAAAACAATATTGATCTCTTTCAGCAAATCTGTGCCTGCTGTACAAGCCCACAGTTTCTGCAGGCACTTGGAATGTTTAGTCTTCCTTACCTCACTAAATGCTAAAATGGTAGCACAGAAAAACCAGAGATGAATATAAATTAAGACAATGTTATGAGAAAGGAAAGAATTATTCCCATGTGATCATGGAATTAAGAGAACTGCACTTCACTCAAAGTTATAAATAAGAAGGAACATAATAAAAAATGCCAAGTACTGTGCTACAAAGAAAGTATAAAAACTAGTTTTAGAAGTAGATATTTCCACTCATCACCTCTATAAAAAGGACAAAGCTGTATTAAAAGATACTGAGAAACAACCTCTAAAGGCTCTGCTAGCTGTTTTTGGAACACACAGTAATTCTTCTTAGCTCACCTGAGCTAAGGCAAGAATACAGTTTTTAAATAAGAACCTATGTCATCTTCAGGCACATCTGTACCCAAACTGAACAAAAATAGTATCTGCATACATGAGAGAACAATCTCTGCCATTTCCAGAACAGACTGCTCAGTAACTTGACCTAGAAACCTCTCAGGGCGGCTCACTTCTGATTTGTTTATTGTAGGGATTCTGGCACCTTTCTCTGCAACACGTGGCAGCCCTCACCACGGCACATGGAAGGAAGGCTGCGGATGCCATGCCAGCCTGGCATCAGGAACAGCTTCCCTTGAGCAAGGATGCTGTTTACCACCCCCAGAGCCTCCCAGAACCCGATACCTGGGCGGGCAGTCCTGCTCGTGGCACTTCTTCTGCCGCCCGTTCGGCTGCGTTGCTGGGTCACAGAAGGAATTCTTGACGGCTCCGCTTCCCCTCCGCACGCAGTGGGCGATCTGCCGCCGCAGCCCTGCCGGAGACACAGGGAAAGGAGCAGTAATCCCCGAGGGATGGGATGAACTGCAGACAGAGGGACACACAGGGAAAGGAGCAGTAATCCCCGCGGGATGGGATGAACTGCAGAGAGAGGGACACACAGGGAAAGGAGCAGTAATCCCCGCGGGATGGGATGCACTGCAGAGAGAGGGACACACAGGGAAAGGAGCAGTAATCCCCGAGGGATGGGATGAACTGCAGAGAGAGGGACACACAGGGAAAGGAGCAGTAATCCCCGCGGGATGGGATGACCTGCAGAGAGAGGGACACACAGGGAAAGGAGCAGTAATCCCCGCGGGATGGGATGAACTGCAGAGACAGGGACATACAGGGAAAGGAGCAGTAATCCCCGCGGGATGGGATGACCTGCAGAGAGAGGGACACACAGGGAAAGGAGCAGTAATCCCCGCGGGATGGGATGAACTGCAGAGACAGGGACATACAGGGAAAGGAGCAGTAATCCCCACGGGATGGGATGAACTGCAGAGACAGGGACACACAGGGAAAGGAGCAGTAATCCCCGCGGGATGGGATGAACTGCAGAAATCCCCAGGTATGCGCATCCTTCAGTCAAACTGAAAAGGTTAAGCGGAGCTCTTTTGGATCAGATCAGAGCTCAAGTGACAGATTAGAAAGCACTTTCCTTAATGTATTTGTTAGCCTCAGAAAGGGCTCAAGCGGGTTTAAATGGCTATGGAGGGTTCTCGAGTTACCCACAGACAAGAGGAAACAGCAGCAGCATCAGGCTATTCACAGCAAGCCTGGCTTTGCTGACCTTTCCTCTGCTCATTGGGAAGGCTGTTTAAGCAGAGCCACAGAATAATCCTGTGACTTTTAAGGTGAATTCAACTTTTAAGAAGTTTTGGTGCACATTTTGACTGAAATCAATGATGAAAAATGTCTTCTGTTTTCTAAGTAAATAATACACAACATTCAGCACAAGAGGCAAAGCACAGTGATGAAGAGACACACAGAAAAAATCCAAACAAACCATTTGGGTTATTTCCTATAATTTCCATTTATACAAAACCCCACTTATTTAACAGAAGGAAACATGAACCAAAATACTACATTAACCTAGTGTGAATCTAAAGAAAGCCAGTTTTCAGGAGCCTGCTTCCCCCATAGTTCTGCAATAATTTGAGGTAGATCTCTTGCTGCAACCCAATGTAAACAAAAGCATTGCAATATTACAGTTTGAAAGATTGCAGTGAGACTGATATAGAGGCATTAAAATAGCCCAAACAAATCTTAAGGACTAAAAAGACTGAAAAATCATTTATTAACTCTAATTAACTGTTCTATTTATTCACAACAATTAATACACACTGGTAGATCACTGCATCTCTAGAACTTTTATCTTCCTTCTGGGATGCACAGGGCCTAACAGCACTGTTATGGCACCAAGGACAAGTGTTAGGCTATTTAGCAGTATGTTTAGGAAACAAGCTTTTTCTTTCCTCAGGCCTCCTAATAACTAGTGTGGGAAACTACATGGAAGATAAGAACAGCAATCCATAGAAAATAATTGGGAAATAGTAATATATTCCTCTATATACTCAGAGCATCATAAAAATGTTAAGGTTGGAAAAGCCCTGTGGGATCAACAAATCCAATCATCAATCCTGCACTGGGTCAAGAACACAGAAGAGAGTTTTGCATGCGTATTTGGGTCATTTCATAGAAATCCTTTTTTTTTACCACCTGAGAACATCAGGTATGTGAGGAAATGCTTTCACTTTTTGATTACTTTCAGATTTCTGAGACATATAACACAATTACTGACTACAGCACAAGATTTGATGACTGACTCTGCTCCAGTCAGATATGAAGGCTGATCTTCTAGAACTGTGATTAGTGTCACCTGTAAGGGAAGATTAAGGGACTGAGGCATTCAACAGTCCATGGGTCCATGGTGCAGCTGCAAGACTGAAGTAAGCCTGGACATGTGATCTCACATTCATAGGTGACTTCAAACAGGAGAAAGTCTTTTGTCTCAGTGCAGAACTCCCAGGGAGCAGTGCTCTCTTTCATGCCCTGGTATAAATGTGACTAGAAAATTCAGCAAACTTTCTGCTAGCTGAAAACAAATCAGCCAGTGGAAATGTTTCTGTTACTTTCAAAATCATGATATGTTGTTGTTCCAAATACAAACAACAAGAAATCTTTGCTTTGATAAATTTTAGTGTCATTTCAGCTGCTGCAATTCATTTTAAAGCGCCTATAAACCTTTGCAAAAGGTTTTGTTTTGAAGCTGTACATTCTCATAAATGACCACCTGACATCAATGAACTAGTTTATTCTAATAAACAACCTCTTTATGAAAGTTATGTGAACTCCCACTGTAGTTTCAAAATCTCTGGCAGCTCAGCTCCAAAGTTGGAAGGAATCCTATATGCATATAGAAACACACACATATAGATGTAGGTTTACATGCTATGACATAATGAAATGGTTTTATCACTTTGAGCAAGTTGAACCAGAAAACACTGCAGAAGAAGACAACTATCACTACTGACCCTGCCCCAGCAAGTATTTACAGTTATACAAGTTAAGAGGGTAATATCTTACTTAAGCCATGATTAAAAATTCTAAATATACTGAAATCTCAGTAAAATTTGATACCTAAATATTTTTTCTGAATGGCTTTGAGAGGTAGCTCATTTTCCTCCATTCACCACTTTTACTTCTTTCTGAACTCAATACTGATTAGTTCAACTGATGTGTACTATCTCAGTTCTGTGAAAAAACCTTACAGGTATTTCTAGGAAAGATAGGAGAAACCAAGAAAGATAATCATCAGATCAGAGAATAATCTTCATTTCACTAAATTTACTCAGAGATTCCTTCTACTTCTCTGTGACACTTCATCCCTAATGCAGGACTCTTTAGATGTGAGGCTGACCCACACATACCTTGATTTTTCACTTGGTTTGCAAAGAAAGGTACCAGTTCAAAGTCATCTGGGTGTGAAAGGCTTTTGAAAGAGAGATTAGAAATCTTTTTGCTGCAGAGCCCTCAGTTTGGGCTGTAAACAACAGAAATTAAGGATCATAAGCAAGTGTATAAAAGGTGTATGAGAAACACACATATCTGAATTTAGAGCTCATTTGAACATGTAATTGAGCTGTGCACTTAGATAGTCTGCAAGGAGTCCACTTTGTATTTGAATGAGCAAATTATATTCTGTGCCTACACAAGTTATGCACAGAATACAAGTGACAATCTTTACACTTGCAGTGCTATAAAACTCAGACACACAACAGTGAATGGAAACAGTGACCTTTGTACTCTAAAACCAACATTAAAAGTGTAGGAACACTTGGAGATAATTTTGCAGAGTGGCCTTTACAAAAGTTGTGAAGGATTTAGAGGGCACATAACAGTTAACCCCAAAAAGAATCTTAGAGTTAAGTCCTTTAGCAGAGCTTTGAAAATCTGCCAATTACCAATACTATCTGTGGAGAAACAAAGTTTTGATGTTGGCTAATATGCTCCCGTCGTTGCAGCTGTGCTGTGCTATGCTTTTTGTAACATTTAATGCCACTCAAAGCTGGTTCTAAGAAACAAGACCAAAGCCTTTAGACAAGGAGGAAGTATTTATACTTGTAATTCCAATATAACCCATTCCATGATTATTTAAAGGAGGAATAATAGGTAGTTGGTCTAGAAAAGAACCTCAGTGACACATTTAAATTAATATGCATGTAGAAAAGCTTACAGGCTCTCTCTGCCTGCTGCCTTGAGAGCAGGCTCTGGTGGGACAGCTCTTGTCCAGAGGTTGCAGTAGTTTGCAGCAGTGTGCACACATTCTGACTGCAAAGCAATTCCTTTCAGCACAAAGCAAATGGCAGGAAGAGATTCAACCTGTCCTGCACTCAGGACAGAGAAAGGGTTATGACTTTTACTACAAATTATCTCCTTTGGTGCTTGTTTGCCGTGAACTGGATTGCAATGTAACTGCTTATCTATTTTATACATTGCAATAGAATATCAGGTATCGCAGTGTGTTTTCCTTTGCCCTGCATGCAGCATTAGGTATACTTGCCACAGAAAGCACTGATTTTTTCAGTATATTTTTTTCCTGTTCAGTGGTGTTACAGTAGACTGGCCACAACCTTCTTTGACACTACAATAGATGGAAGCACATGAAGGAAATGAAAGAAGCCATGAGAACATTTGAATATTTTGTTTCTCCATTGCAGTGGAGCTGGAGAAGGATATGCATATGATGCACAGGGCATGGCATGGCGTAACCTTGAGGTGAAGAATCTGGGAGCTGTCCTGAGTTCATTCTGGAAAGAGACAGCTTTACTCTAAAAGTTCTTATTCATCACTGGGACTTTTTCCAGGTACATTTCCCATGGATAAAGAGCTGCACATGCACAAGAGCTGCATAGGGCTAAAATCACTTTGTTTTTTCTTAGGACTGATGAAAATTTCCTGCATCAGTTCATTGCCCTGCCTAGGGAATTTCTTATTCCCTAATGCAAATGTTCTTTCTTGGCTCCAGAAAGCATTTGTTTGTATTGTTCTGATTTCTGTGGCTACCAAAGGCTGAAGTACCCTTGAATTTATTGTTGTGTTTTTGGCCAGTGGTGATGAAAGGACCTGTGCGGGATCTTTGGCAGGTCCAGGTTTGACAAGAGAACAGAAGTCTAGGTAAGGATCAATTTCTCCCACTGGCTGTGGCTGTCAAAGTTAGTTCAGCAGTTCATCTTTCTTGGTCCCCCTTTTTATCCTAAAAATATTGTTTTATTGTTTACCAAATGGTAACTGCAATAATCCCTTAAAAGCTATTTACTACTAACATTAGGCTAAATAAATACAGCTTTTCTTATTTATCTCTCTGTAGGCTTATCTTCAATAAGACTTGTCCTGCAGCACACCCATAGCAGAAGATGATCTTGTCTACTTCAGTGCACTTTTATCTTATAAGCGTCTCAAAACACTTCAAATGCCAGTGATTTGGTACAACAAGTGTTACTGCCAACAGCAGTAAGTTCTGAATCTAAACAGAGTGAACATTCACATAAAATTGATTGCATCGTTCACAGCCTGAAGGAAGTTTTGAGGAAGTCAGAAGGAAGTTTTGTGAAAGTCAGTTGGACATCAGGGAGAATTTCTTCACTGAAAGGGTAGTCAAGCATTGGAACAGGGTGCCCAGGGAAGTGGTGGAGTCACCATCCCTGGGAGTGTTCCAGAAACAACCGGATATGGCACCTGGGGCCACGGTTTGGTTGATGAGGTCGCGTTTGGTCAAGGCTTGGGACTCCCTGATCTTGCAGGTGTTTTCCAACCTCAGTGGTGCTCTGAGCAGTGATGCGGGTCCACATCCCCATGGCCAGAGCACAACCAAATACAATGTGAACTTGCAGAGAGCTGCAGGCAGATTGGCTTATCAGATTTCCCACTCCAAGTGATGCATTGGAGCCAGGATTTCTCTGTTTTAATGATCAGGGAGTGAGAGACAATATCCTGGCTGCATCACTGCATCAGAAAACTACATCCCTCTTTAGACCTGTACAGTTACTTCTCTAAACACCTATATCTCAGGGGAGAGAGGGCTACAGGTTTATTAATTTCTTTTCTTCTGTCCATGAAGGAATGCAGAGAACTGGTGAGGTGTCTGTGCCCTTCATGAACTGGGATGCACCTCTCGGTTTCCCTTCCAACTGATGCCCCCAAGTCCACAATCTTGTCTGAAACACATGATTTCTACTTACACAAAGGCAGTAAGCTTAAAAAACATTTATTAAGAGCAAAAATGCAGCTAACAGAGGAAGCCAATTAGTAGGTAAGAACTGAAAAAACCTCACATACCACAGTTACCTATCTAAGTAACCCATGGGGCAGAAATCAAAGCCACATCACACAGTTTGTTAGCCAGAAGAGAGTAAACAGGGCTACAATTTACCTAGTGAGAACAGTTCTGGAAAAACTGCAGCTAATGTAAAAAGAACCTCAAAACAGCATAACAAACAGTCTACTAAATCAATCCCCTTTTTATCACAGCAATTTTTACATTAAACATGACTCAGAACAAGGCAGGTATCAGAAATAAACTTACAGAACACAGTTAAGCAAAACCACTTGTTCTGTGCACCTATTTAAAGAAAATGGTGGGTGTCTCCCCATTAGAAAGCATATAAAGTTTTGTGCTGAGAGACTCTTCCCAAAAAAAATCCAGAAAAAATATCACAACATCTATCTAATCAAGCATACATATATATGAATGAACACACATCTCTGTAATATGTTGATTATATATATATATAAATATTTTAAAATAATATTTGGATGTAATTGGGATGGGATATTTTATACTAGGCTTCTAAAAGTTCTTCTTTTAATCTTATAAAATTAAGTCATAAAATGCCTTTTGTTTAAACCACTGAAAATGCATTATTTTAGAGTCTTCCCTGGCAGAAGAGATTAAAAAATGTCATTCCTGCAATCATCACTACATTTAGAATCACAACTCGGTTTGTTACAACACTTGTTTGTCCTTTTTCTTTTCTTCCACAGAGCAGTTAAAAAAGCAGTAATTACTGCTTTTGCCAAGTAATTACCAAAAACCACTAACAAAACTCTACCATTAGAAAAGGTCTTTCTCATATTATTGGTCTCGTTGTAACACTAATCTTCTACTCTTCTGTACAGTTTCCACACTGTACAGAATCTTCAAAAAACAAGCTTATGGTTGTATCTCCAGAATTCTGTGAAAATCAAGAGCTAATTCAGACAGAAGGCTACAATTCCTTTCTCCCAACTTCAGACTTCCCTTCATATACAAGCTTTTCGTCACATTTTCAAAATTATTCCCACAATACATGGACAAAAAAAAAAATACTATTGTAAATATCTGGTCTCTTTATCCTTATTGTTGATTTACTACAAATATTAATTTTATCTCATTGATGTCAGCTACTTCAGAGAAAGTTCTCCTGCCAGCATTTTGTGTGAATTACCAGAAGCCACAACAGACCTGTTGTTAAATCCTGCTTCACAGTCATCATTCTGCTTGTCTGGCCTAAAGTGATGCACAGAACTACAGTATAACTGCAGTGGTACCCAAGCTATTGCCAAACTGGCAAAGACATGGAAGTTCTCAAGACTAATTGCAATTAAGTAATTTTTTGTAGTTATTATATAGAAAAGACTTAAAAGGGAAACAATAGTAGGTCATAAATTTGTATTGCTGGAAAGAAGGGCTATGGTGAACAGTATTGATAAAAAACATATAAGGGAAAGAAAACTGTACCTTCTTATTTTGCTTCACAGAAGCTGAGAATTTCAGGGCAGGTGTTTTAGAAACCTATTTGACTTACATAATTTTAAACATTTTTATTTAGGAGTCAAAATACATTATTCACAGAATCAAAGAATGGCTGGGGTTGGAAGGGACCTCTGGAGATCATGTAGTCTCACCCCCCTGCTAAAGCAGGGACTCCTGGAGCAAGCTGCACAGGATCACAACCAGGCAGATTTTTAATAGCTCCAGAGAAGGCGACTCCACAGCCTCTCTGGGCAGCCTGTTCCAGTGCTCTGCCCCACTTAACATAAACAAATTATTGCTCACATTATTTCTGAAACCATGTGATCTGATTTCCCACCAAAGGCAGATTAAAGAGCATTACCTCTTTGAGGACTACAGCTGTAATGAAGGAAAACAGTAAGAGAAAAAGGAAGTGAAGGATTACCTCTTCCACAGGTAACACTGCAGGCTGTCCACTCTCCATATTGCCAAAAATACTCTGGCTCTCCAATCTCATTCTCATTACTTTCTTCTTTACGTACAGTGTATTCATACTCGATTCCAGGGTTAGTTTCTTGAAAAAGCAGCTGGAGAGAGTGGGGTTTATTAATTGTTTGATTAATAATCTACTGGTCAAAAGCTCTCAAAGTGTGAAACTGGAATAATTAAAGCTGCCCATAAAGTCTGATACCAATTCAGAGAAGCAGACTTGTAGAATTTCTACTTCTTTTTCGACAGTGGCATACATTAATCTTTCAAAGACACAGTTGTTTACCATGCATTTCTGCAATCACAGGTGGGAATAAATGGGTCACCATAATTGGTATTCTACTGACTCTAAGAAAAGATAATGCAAAGTCCATCCAGAGCATCCCTATGGTGCTGATTAAGAGCTATTGCCTATCCCCATTATTAATTATAATTTTACTACCTGCTGAAATAGCTGTTACAAAACAACCATTAAGTCAGAAAATTACAGATGCTATTCAGACACTGCTTTAATATCATTTTTCTGTGTTTCTGAATAAAGAAGAAAAATTCCAACTGAATTGGGTTGGAAGGGGTACTCAAGAAATTTACCTGAGAAAGTAAACATCATCAAGGGAAAAAAAGTCTTCAGCCATGAACTTTTACTCTTCCTCCCAATTGTACTAAAAGTGAAGTCTGAGCACTCATTAGTTTTGTCTTCTCACCAGAAAACTTCACACCAGACGAAGTGTGAAAGTGGTCTCCCATCACACCCCTAATACTTCTTTTGATTGCATGGTGGATACACATGCAAAGAAGCATGTGAGAGATACTTCCAAAGATCAAAAGGCCAATTCCAAATTATTTTTTCAGAACTGACAGAAACTGGTTACGTGTAAGTCAGAATCCATAAAGCAACATGAAAGAAACAAAAGAAATCAGCCTCTGTGGATGTTAAATGGGTCAGTTTCACTTACCATAAGCTATTAACCCATCTGTTGTGCTGTAGGCTCTCCTTGCTCTGTGTAAGCTGCCACTGCTGTCAGCTGTCCCTAGCTCTCACTGTTCACAGCCTGATATCAGCTCCCCTTTTGTGACAACTTTTTTTCATCTGGATCTGGTTCACATCACAGCCATGTGTTGGTTACATTTAGTAAAAGAGACAAGAAAGTTTGGGCAAAGGACTGACCAACTACAGGCAGCAGGATCCCTGTCCTAGCGGCAGCACAGGATTATACCAATCTTTAACAAATATGGGAGTGCAATACAGGACATGTGTCCCTAGGCAGGATGAACTACTCTCAAAGAAAGGTGCTTATTTCTCTCCAAAACAGCTCAACTGTTTTTGTTTTTTTCTCAAGACAGCACATTTACAGTGGCTTATAGACCAACATACATATTTTCCCAGCCCCACTTCCAGGGCCCCAGCACATTCTGCTGCCATGCAAATTAGCAGGTTCTGCTCTTGATCTCCTGTTTACCTGAATCCATATTGACTCATTAGTGGGTCCTGGAGCAGTCAGATTTTCTAGATCCCCTGTTCTGTCATACTGAAATATTGTGCCTGCCACTTTGTATTCACCATTCCACTGGATGATAAAGCCTCCATTCAGGAAGTATTTTTCTGGGTCTTTGCTTCGCATAGCAAGGAAATTTCCCGATTCTGTAACTTCCATGACTTTGATTCCCCTTGCACCTTTTGGAATGAGCCCAACGTCAACATATCCTAAGAGACAAGAAAAATTTATGGAGGTGAACAACAGAAATGTCACTGCATTTTACTTATTTGTAAGATGATTAAAACAACAGCTTTGCTTGAAAAAATACACAAATGTGCTGCCACAGAGCTTGTATTTCAGTTTGTTAATAGTGTGACTTTCCAAGTCAGGGTTTCTAGTGTCAGTTGGGGAATAGTGTTTAGGCGATGCCAGTGGCATTTAAAAGGAATGCAGAGGTGAATGACTTTCAGAGCTGTGCCAGGGGAAATCTACTCCACACGTGAGCATCAATATTTCCATATCCATGCCTGAGGGCTCTGGCATACTGTAATGTGGAGAAATGCCAGTCTGTTGTGGGAAAGGTTTTTTCAATTTGCAAAACCATTTTCATTTATGTTATGTTAATTTACCCAATGTACAGGTATGCACAGAATTCCATGTACCTTCTCTTAAGGCATTTAACTTCTCTGTGACTGTTTGCCTTACAAAAACAACAATAACAAAAGACTGTTATTCAAATGCCTCAAATTGCTACTATAAATTCAGCACATATTTTTAAACTACAGATCTTCGTAACAAAGTTCAAGGGCTCTTCATGGATAGGTATCTAGAGATTTTTGGTCAGTATGTTAAGAATTACCCAAAGCATCTATTACAGAATTTTGTTCACATCACAGGCAATATGTGACATCAGACTCTGTGCTTCTCACCTTACAGGAAGCTGCTATTGTTGTTACTACAAAATTGTAAAAATAGGAAGTTCACATAGATACTTGAACACAAACACAGGTAGCTTTCTTGTTATTCCCCCTAGCTGAGCTTTAGAAATTAGATGGATGACATTGTTACAAGCTGGTGCACTGGGAGTGTGAGCTGCACTTTGTGCTGGTTTACTTCAAGACCAGAACATGAGTTCCCCAGTTCTCATCACACCTTTCTGAGGTCATGAATTAAATTCTGAGAATCACATCCTGTTCATCTTTCTTGTGAAATGAGCTTATCACCTTTGATTACTCACTCACACGAGTGAGACAAACCACGCTGGGCATGCTAAGCAATCTTCAGTATCAATGTTCTCCTCCCACCAGAACTATTTATGTGCTGTACAACATCCTGCTGCTGAAAGTGCCTGAGAGTCTTCAACATCTGATTTTCTTTGCAGCTCTTTTGTGGTGTAATGAATATTGGTAAAAATGTCCTATGCTGCTTATGGTACAAAATAGAATCTGTCTACTTCAAGTCTTTCCCAGTTAGACTGATAATATATAATTATATATATGGATTTCCAGTGACTGATGTTTAAGAAGGAGCATTTTCTGAATGTTACCTTTTGCAAGTCTCCTTGACTGATTGGAAATCCAAACACTTTTTTCTAAGTGAATCAGTTTTTTCTAAGTGAATGAAGTAAGAAAATCTGGAAGCTCACTGAATGACTTGTATTATTCCGGAAATCAGTTGTCTAGGTCTATTGTAAGTAACCAAGTCTAATGATTCTCCCAAATGTTCTATCTATTCAGTGACGAGAAGACATGTTGCAAACACAGTGTGTGATTATGTAACTAAAGGCTTGATTAGAAGGCATACTTACAACCAGGACAAATTAACACAGCATGGAAAATCTTAATTATGTCACATCCTGGCAGCTTGGCTTTGCAATGTTGGTGTCCTTTTACAGTAGGGTTGGGTTGGTTGTTTTTTTTCTATTTAATTAGAATATAATTTATTTGAAACACAAAGCATAAAAACTATAAGCCAATTTGTATTCTATTGCAACACAAAAGCATGTATATCCTTTCAAGATTTTGCATAGTTATTTTTGTCTGAATCACCTGCTGCTGCTCATAAACCTTATTTTAAATGTATTGCAACTGTCTGGTAAGGGAAGTTCTCATTTGTTCAGTATATCATCTTCTGCCTCTCCCTGGCCCTCCCCACCAGCTAAATTACTTCCTGATTTCCCAGAGCCTCTCACTGATTCCCAATAAACATTATCTGATTTTGAAAGGAAAGCTAATCAGCAGCAAGCTTTTGAGCTCGTCACTCAACATAATAAATTTTTGGTTTAAAATTCTGTGGATGGTGTATATGTAATTGTTATTGGTTATGTGGTTTCATTTGATAAGGATCTAGAGATCCAAGATTCAATGACAGTCAAATTGTGAGCTGTCTTACCTACACACTGAGCTCATTAAATCTGGGAGCAACCTTATTGTGGGTGCTTCTGCACACCTGTGAATTTGCAACCCTCAGATGCTATTAATCCTTCCCTTTTAAATTAAAATTAAATCTATATGCTCCCCAAACAGACATGAACAAATTAATGAAACCCTTGCTGTGTGCACAGCTCTACAAGGACTGAAGAACTTGCTTCTCCTTTCCAGCTTCAAGGAGAAAAGAGTAGTTTCACTCAGGTCATTAGCACAGCATTACAGATCAATGACGACCAGATCTGACTGTGCACAAAGCATGCATTTTTTTCTGGCAGAAGCATGATTCACTGAAACACCCATTTACAGTTTCCCACACAGATAATCACTCAGTTTTCAATGAGAAGCACTTTAATAATTTTTACATAGAGAAATGACTTCACCAATGGAAAAACTTAAAGGAAGAATCCGTATTACCAAATCCTTCACTTTGATTAAACATCATCTTCACTGTATGACAAGCAGAGCCATCTCCCAGGCAAACTCCACACTGGTCTTCTGTTGCGTTGGAATTTATCTCATAATCACAGCCAACAGCCTAGAAAGAAAAACAGTGTCAGAATAAATGCAGCCTCCACAATGAATTACTCAGAGCTCATCTATCACTGCACTTCTGAGCAGGGGAGTAGTACATATCCTGTATAGTGTATTACACCAAGGTGAAAAACAAACCAACAAACAATAACCATCATCATGTCACAAAACACACAGTAGTGACCAGTCACTTGAGACAGAAATGTGCCACCCAAATGGTCTCATTATGTAGGACTGGCCACTATATCTAGGATTTGTGTCTGCTTTCTTATGTCATAGAGCCATCCACAGGTTCCTGGGAATGCAATGCAGTAACAGAATTGAAATCTTTGCCAGCTTTTTGTGGCCATCTCACAGCACAGAACCTCTACTACAGTCAATCCCCCTGCCAAAGAGAAACTCTTCAGTAGGCATGAAATTTTACATCAATGACTCCCCAGCTTGTCACCACAGGGGCATGGGTCCAGATACAGTGGCTCAAGTGGGTCAAGTTCTATTAAAAAATATTTTCCAGTTTATGCTTGCTACAGGAAGAAAGTCAGAATGCATTCATCCTGAGTCAGGAAAAAACTTCCTTGCTCAACCCAAAAATTCTGTGCTCTAACGTCTTTAAATTTCAACAGAATTTGCATTTGGTTTTGGGATTTTTTTTCTGCCTCTCTTCAAAAACAGGCAAGATTGCAGAACACAGCATAAAGTCCAACTCTTAGTGATTGTTAATAACATCTAAGATACCTGGAGGCCTGTGATACAGACGAATAGCCAGAAGTCTGGTAGTATGTCAAGGTTTTGTCTTGGTTTGAGATAGGGTATACAGCATCATCAAGTCACCCCCAACAGGTTTTCTCAGGTTTTTTTCTGATTTTTCTCAAGCTTTCAGGTGCTATACCTGCCAACCTGTCTAACCCTCCTGATGTATGAAAATCTGGTATATGAACCTCTTTTGATGTTCATCTTATTTTACCTTCAGTACATCAGCTACTGTATATTTCTGCAAGATTCTGACAGGAAAATCCATCTATTAGACTAACCTAGGTATACAGGCTCCTGCATTTTCTAGTATTTTTCTATATAATAACAGCTTAAGAAATACCTGAACATTTGTATAACTGCCAATGATTTAATGAACAATTAGAGAAACTGTGAGAAACAGAAACAAGGAAAGTCCTCAAGCTACAGATGGTGCCAAACTGCATCACTTAAAAGAAGATTCCAAAAAAGAGATGCATCTATCACTTACTGCCAATTCATATTCAGCACCTTTCACATCAGCTCTGAAAAGTCACAGCCATGTCAAAAAGTTCTGCAGCAGCCTCAGCTTCTCCCTCCTTTCTGTGAAGGCCACTTTCAAAAAATGGAAGGTTTTGTAATGTTTTGCACACAGACAGATCCTGGCACCAAGGACCACACTTATGAGCAGTACAGAAGACTACAGAGATAACGATATGTTAGCAAGGTAACTAACTTTTTGCCTCCAAGTATGCAGCTATTTGACCAGGGACGGATTTAATCAACTATTCAGAATGCACAGACACCACTGCTACATGAACAGGAGGTTTCTTTATCTTTCCAGGAGTTCAGATCTGTCTCTGCACCAGTTTAACACTTCCTAATAATTTAGAGAGGCTGAAGTGTTGCTGTTTTCTCAGTGATGCATTCCACAGTACACCTACTGTACTATTAGTACATCTGTTAATCATCTGCAAACAGTGAAGTCATAGCTATCTGGCTTATTATTAGACCAGAGAAATAATAAGATACTGGAGAGTCATAGAATTTGAGGTTTATTTTCTATACTATGCACATAAATACTTGAACAGAAAGATGGGCAAAGTCTGAAGATGGAACTCTTGTGCTTTGCTGTTAGAAAATATAATTATTCACTGCTGGGAGCTTGTATTTTGAACTTCTTTAAAAATTACTTGTCTTCAAATTGTACTTTTTTTTTTTCCAAATTATCATTTTCTGGTAGGAAATTCATGTTTTGGAAAAGGTTTCTGTCCTTTATTTACTGTGCATTCTTGTTTGAGCAGCTGCACGCAGAATTAATTTATCTCTTTCACACTGTCAATCAGATACTTTGAAATGAACATCACTGAGCATATTTCCCTAGCAAGTACTGCGGGGGTGTAAAAAAGCCCCACAGGTTTAACTAATTACTTCTGATTAGAACAGCTGCAGCCCTGGCTCTAACTGGGATGGCAGCAACACGGTATCATCCCTTCCCTGCCTTTGGGATTAGCGAATCAGTGCTTCTGCATGGGCTGTACTCCATGAGCTCAGATCTTTCCCACTTGGCCATTTCCTTTAGCAACAGGTCTATGGCATCAAAATATGGCATCACTATGATGTGAAGGGAATCCCTTTGTGCCTTCCAGTAACAGCAGCAGAAGTTTGTGTTTCAGTGCTCTTCTGATATAGAAGTTTGTATCCGATCAGATATGAGCCTAACCTATACATGCAACATTCCTACATATTCCCGGGGTTTTGGAATACCCAAGAATGAGGTAGGGCAGACAATTTACTCTGCTACAGTAAATAAAGTCTTCGCTTCATTCCCCAGCCCTGGGGTGCTGCTGGTGCTGCCATGACCTTCACATCTAACAGCAGGGTCTCATCTTACAAAGCCATTAAAAACCATCACGAAGCAATATTCTCATGTCTCAGAATAAACAGCAGTCATTTACTCCAGATACATTTCCATGAACTTTAATTTCCAGACCATGTTTTCCTTTATCACTCCAGTGAATACCACATTATTTTTGCCATCCATTATAATAATTTCAAGATGCTTCATTCTTCTTTTTACTTGCTTTCCTCATTATTCTTGTGGATGCATTTTCTCAACATGCCTCAAACTTTTCAGAAAGTCAATATGACCCATTTATGTGCACTTGCAGTCCAGAACTATATGATATTTAAGGTCCATTCCAACCTGAACCATGATATGACTCTATGATGAATTTCTGACAAGCACTTGCTAAAGGGGTTCTGAAGACTAATACAGGTTGTAAAGTAGGAAAGAATATCAGCAGCAATTAGGCTCTGATTTTCTTAATACACACATGTACTTGTGCACCCTTTGCCTGTGAACCATGCTGCGTTACAGGAACCACTGTGTGCCATGGCATGGGCAACACAACTTAGCATCCCTCCCTGCAGCCCTTTGCCATTGTCCCACTCACCAAGAGCCTTTATTAATGCATCTGAGATCAGCTTTGTTTCTGCTCACAGCACACAGTGCAGAGGCAGATGTAATGACCTGAACTGCCCGGCTGAATTACAGGAAGGAGAAACAATTTATTTCCTGCTGCTCAGTGACTAAAGGGAAAACAGCCAGAGATATTGGCCTTTTTCCATTTCCAGAGGGAGAGGCTTTTGAGTCAGATTGGCAGTGGGGGACAGATATAAAAAGTCCTTGCTGTTATTCAAGGGTATGGCCTTGAAGGGTACTGCTTGAATATTCATTATGTGAATGCTATATTGAACTTTAAAGTCTTCCCTTTTTGGTCTCCCCCACAAGTCTTCAAACAAAGCAATCATATTTACTTCATGTTGGCCATGACATTGCCTTGAATGGAAAGAAAGGTGTCCTGATGTTAGCAATTTATCTTGTAATTTGTCTATATGGGTCTGAATCAAATGTCCTGTTGGACTAGCAGTGGGAAGAGAAAGCTGAAGTGTGAAGTGGTGAAGTTACTGCACAAAAATCCAAGCTGTGTAAAAATCCAATCTGCTTTTCAGTAACAGAAAAAAATTGGTTCCTTCCCTACTACACAGCTGTGTAATTCTCCAGTACAGTGTCAGTCTTTCACAGTCACAGCTGTGAATTACCACAGATTTGCATGACTGAACATCACTTAGGCCTATCAAAATTCTGTGCAGGAGATGAATGGCTGCTAGAAACATCACAGATGCCAGATCCTCCACTCTCAGCATCTGCACACTCCAGTGCTAAGTACATGTAAGCCTTCACTTTTAGATTATGGCTTGTATTTAATAAAAAATGGCTTGTACTTAATAAAAAATCCCCATTATCAGTGCTAAACAACCATACTCTGGTGGCAGTATCTCCACTCACTAACACTGGGGGAACAACCTAGTAAGGTTGTTCTTACTGGACTCACCTAGTAAGAATTAAGAGTGCAGTTGTGATGCATAATTTAAGCACAGGAATATGGGCTATGTGCTTTAAAGATCTCCCAAATAAAAGGGAGAAAACAACAATTGAAAAATGAGGGCTAAGACATACAGTAAAAAAAAAGAACTAGTCATAGCATAGCTTGATGATTTGAGATTAAGTTATTGACAGATCTTATCAGATCTCCTGACAGAACTTTTCTGCTCTGTATGGTCAGTGTTGAGAGAGAACCCACCTATTTTATAGGCCAGGCCTTCAAATGAGTTAACAATTTTAGCTTGTCTTTGAATCGACAAGTTCTAAAGGAATACGGTGCAAACAACACCTCACTTCAGCACTCACAACGCCTTCCTTCAGCACTGATGCACGGGCAGCACCTCCAAAAAATTAGAGGAGATAAATTAAAAGGACCAAGTGAAATCAGTGGTCTGTCTGTACTCACTTCTCCCTTGAAGATGCATATTGTGGCTTTGTCAGGCCAGCCAGGAAAGCATCCGGTATACCTCAGGTAGCTAAAATGAAGCATCTCAATCCACATTTAGCCATCAAAGAAAGACCAGTTTCTCTGATTGCTCTGAATAAATTCATGACAAACTGCAAAATCAGACTAAAATCAGATGAATTTAGAAGATGAAATTCTTTATTGGATCTATCTATTTTGTTATGACATACCCAGTAGGAAAACTCTAAACTTACTTGATAAAAAATAGCTACTCTACATGCCAATCACATGTGAGCAATTTAGACAGCGGATCTCATACCATATTAATATCATTTTTTTCTCAATTTCAGACCAAAGTGAAGTGTTATTTTAGTACTCAGGACAAATGTGAAGTGCTCTTGTGAGATACAGTTCTGAAAACCAGAACAGCGCTTTAACACTTACGAATGTCTTTTCTATATCATTATCAACATGCTGCAATCAAACTACAACAATGATCTGCCAGACTAATTACACTAAACACATTTCCAGACTTATTCTCCAGGACCTTTAATATATCTATTGTGTTCAGCTAGCTGGACTCAAATACTAGTAAATTAGATGACATATGAAAAAGCTTCTCCTCAGGTGTTGTGCTGGGTACCTATTTCAGATGAAAGCATGCTATCTTTCAATACTGTGACCTATTTGGGTTACCTATTCATCATTTGGTCTCATTTTGCATGGCTATATTGTTCATTCTGTGATCCTGACTCCAAATGAATCTGTTTGCCACGAGATGTGAAGCAACAGTCACCATGAGCAACACCGACAGCACCCTGGGGGGAATTTCTCAGAAAATCTTTGGGTCCACAGAACTGTTATTGCTGAAATGCACCTGGGCTCCACAAACTGCAATTAGATTAGCTTCTCTTTCATCTCTGATCTCTCAATTTGGATTAATTCAGTCTTGCTATCTCTAAAACAGGTATAAATCTGAACTTGCACAGGCAAGGTTTCAATACAGAAAGCATATGGAAACTAAAATTAATCACAATGATCCCAGTCCATCTGGACTGGAAATCAGAAAATGAATGTTCCACAAGGACAGCCTTTCTGAATTTGGTAATTGGTCTCTCAAAAGTGAAGTCCAAAAGCACTGGTAGGGTATGCAACATCTACTATATGTTTCAATATGCTAAAGATATGATTCATTCTGGCTTGAACCATTCAAAACCATCATAGTTCACAGGCCCGTCCTGCCTCTCAGCAAAGTTAAGCAGGATCTCTTCATTGTGAACTTAAGCAAGATCTTGGTAACTCCCTTTCATAAATGCAAGTATTGCAAGGAAAGCTTAAAACACATCTTTTATTACTGGTCTCTGAGGCACTGTCATTCTAATGAAATAAGTTTAAAAAGAGGGTGTACCAATCACCTATTAAAAAGGCGAATTTTCCATCACTGGAAGTCCTTAAGAAAAGAATGTGAAAATGTCCAAAAAGGAGTATTATTTGTACAGGGATGAAATAGACAACTTCTTGAAGTCCCTTCCAGTTGCATTTTTATACAATTAAGTGGCTTGGGGCACACAACACCCATACTGGGTAAGCTAATGTAGTTTACCAAGTCACCAAGTCCTGCTCTTGTTTCCAAAAATGCTAAAAGCAAAAAAGCTATTAGACTTCAAGGAGGCACAGGACAAACCCTCCATCCGAAGAAATAAACCACAGATGTAAATATATCCTCTACAAGAAAAAATACTCATTTTATTTATAAGAAAGTGACTAAATGCAATGCTGAGATTGTGGAGGTTACAGAATTTACAGAACACTCCTTCAAATGTCATACAGACACACACATCATCCTGGAAATCTGCTACCAACACACAGAATATGCAGAGACCATTATACTTATTCTTCAATGCACAATATTATTGAGCCATATACACTGTGTTTGCCCATTATCTCACTGTATGACATTACTCAGTTCAGTGTTGTAAATTATTTTTTACTGCCCTCAACTGCAAAGTCTGATCCTATTAATAGACAGCTCAGAACAGCTACACATGTATGGTTAAATCACATTTTCATAAAAAACCCGACGGACAGCAGTGACACCAATTACAACCCTAAAGCTACAATACTTTGTGAAAACTTCTAATCAGAAACAGCTTTTCTTGAACTGATGTTTTAAAATACTGGGAAAAAAACAGAGGGTTTAAAAGGCACCAAAAGTAATCAGCAGTCAGTCAAATAGACTCATTAAAAAGGGTAGAAATTACTCTTATGTTTACTTGGAAAGCTTTTGCTACAAACCTGCTATAAATATGTGATAAAATGGAGTACTTGGCCTTGGTCCTACCAAAAAAATAGTTAAGCATCTTCCCATAACTTTTTAAAATTAAATTGTAGAGAAAGAAACATGCAAACATACCCAATACCTTACACATGCCATTAATACAGATATCTCGGCTGTGCCTTCCTTCAAAGCAAGGAGTGCCATCAGTGACTGCATCAAGCATCTTCTCTGAAAAATGGCCATCTACTGGGCGGCAGTGGAGCTCACAGGGGTTTGCTGAAAGGAAAGCAGGAACACTCACTCAGACAACACACCAGCAGGACACTGAAGCACAAAGCACAGGGTCTTTGCTGAGCCATTTGCTCACTTTCCCTGCTGCTTGCCAGAACTGGCAGAATTAGAAGAATTGAGCAGAGCCAGGGTGACACAGGCCTGATAAACAGCACTTGTGGATTTGTGGGAAGCAGCTGGAGGCTGGTCCCCTCACACCTGCGTGCTCTCTGTCACTGGCACATCAGCAGCCACTGCTGAGTGAGGCTGCAATGAGGCCATCAGCTGTGATGGAGAAAGGGATGGGAAACCAGCAAATCCAGCTGTCACTAGAGAAGGGGTGAGATTACCAAGGACACTGACAAGAAAGTTTTCCATCAGCTGGTTACTGAATAATTCCAGAGGTAATTTAAACTTTCCATCACTGCTGTCAGCCTCTCTCAGAGAGCAGTCAGCTGCCCGCTTCTGATCTTGTTGTTCATCATTTTCCTCTACCTGTTCACACTTAATAAATTATTTCAAACTTTTTTTTTCCTGCTTGACAACTTATGAAATAGGGATAATATTGCAAGTCTGACAGCCTCAGGCTATTTTCAGATAGATGTCCCACAGAAGCAACAGGGAGGAGAAAAGCTGTAGCAAGAGCAACAAGTGGCCTCTGAAACAAGATTTTCTGTGATGGAACAGGGCCTTAATCCATTCCATCTACAGAGTAAGATGAGCCAAACACCAACCTCCCTGTCTCACAGACACTGGCCTTTGTGAATGGGAAATCTTGAAACTGAGACATCAGAGACACGAAGGACACAAGTCTGATAAATAAATTGTCAGTTAGAGCTGAAATTAGGATCAAAGCAAGGACTGACATAATCCCTGGCTTTGTAACACTCTCTGAAAACTCTGCAGCAGAACCAGAACTATCTGCCTGAATTAAAAATCATCCACTATCATATTAATGAAGGACACCAACACAAGACTTGTCTTCAGGTTTTGGTCTATTCGAAGACCCCAGCCTCACGCAGCACTAAAGCAATTTGTTCGTGCTCAGCAACCTGAAATGCTTTGCTGAGAAAAGCAGTGGGCCTTAAACCTACCAGTCAGTAGTGACTTCAAGGCACCATTATTTAATAAGTTTAAAACTACCTTCCTTTGTGCTGCAGAGGTGCTAATGCTGAGTGAGTTTTATCCTGTGCCTGACAGAGTTGACAGAAGCTGCCCCCTTGGTCTCAGAGGTAACTCTAAGCCTTCCACATCCTGGTTGATGAATTTATCTTTTCCTCATTTGTTGGCTTTGTTTGTGTCATAGAAAGGACTGTGTTTAAAGAAATTTTTGGTAATGAAGAGAAATGCAAACTTCTGATAATGCAAATAAACTAATTAATTTCCAACAAAAGGATTTATCCTTTTGAAGGAGGAAAATTTGCTCTCATTACCCTGGTTTGTACAGCACCGACATACCCACAACACCGCACAGTGCACAAAGATGACTGCAATTCCTCCCTTCAAAGCTCTCACAGATTAAGAACTGAATCCTGCAAAGCCCGAGCTTTGGTACTGTGAATCTCATTTGTGTAAACATGCAGAAACACTGCAGACTGGAAACAAAAACAAATTAAAAATAAAAAACCAAGAACAGTACTGGAAATTCAAAACCTCCTTAATGAAGGGTTTTTTTCCCCCTCTTGTCAGTAGAGCTGAAATGACACCTTAGGTCTGTCAGCAATGTGAGTTTCTGGCTTCTCAAACAAAAACACCTTCACAAAGTGCAAGTGAAGAGACCCAGAGCACATGCATGGACCATGGTTATACAGCTGGTGGAATTCCAGCTGATGTGAATTGTGTTCAAGAGTATCAGTGGAGGAGGAGCTAAAAAAGTTTTTCAGGCAAGAACATGAAGTGTGTAACCCCACCAACCCTCAGCCCCTCTGTGAAAGCTGCCAGCCATAACATCCACCAGTTGCTTTGATAAGAGCTGTCATGGTAATTGATACAAGAGATTTTAATTCTGTCTGCAGAATTCTTTTTACGGCAGTGTGACTAAAGTTATTACTTTAATGCTCTCAATTTTGCTTCACCTTGCCTGCATTCTCAATGTAGCACTTTTCAATACAAAGCACAATACGTTTATGACAAGGAGCATCAAACAATTCCAGATACTCTGTTACCTGCTCAGATAGACAGATTTTACAGAAAGACATTTCAGCTTCTGCATTGTTTCTAATGAAATATGTCAAACAGAAGTTTGATATCTGTACCTCCTCACAGCTGTGTTTTGACAAAAAAAGCAATTTCATTTCAGAAATCACAGACAAGAAGAAAATGACAGTGCTGACAAACTCCTGCCATAACTATGATGCTGTAAATCTGTAACTCAGAATCAGTTTTTAAAGAAAAATAACCCCCTTACTAAGTCAAAATAAAATGTAAAAAAAAAAAAAAAACCAAAAAAACCACACAAACTTTCATACTTGCAAATGCTTTCTATGTATGAAAGCTTTCCTGTTTTTCCTGATTGTGTTAACTGATCTAAAATTAGACTCAACCCACACAAACTTTACTGTTTTTTATTCTAGATGTATTTTATGAAGCCCCTCTGGAAATTATAGGATATTTACTTATCCACCCAAAACTCAATTATATCTGATATTTATTACATTTTTCATCTACAGAAAGGCTGATTAGGTCACCATTGAGGAAATTATACTAGCACTGTATTTGGCATTCACTATCTAAAATTATTTGTTTATCTACCTATCATTATTATTTATTATGGTTGAGCTCAGGGACCCTGGCTCTGTTTTTCTAGGGTTATAAATAAACTGCATCAGAATCAGCCAATGACCTCCAAAACAATATCTTAATATTTTTTACAAAGAACAGATACCTAATATTTTAAACACAGAGCCGACACGAAACCCACACACAAGAAAAAAAAAATTCCTGCAATGGTGGAAGACTTGCATTGAGTTCAGCCTTTTCTCTTATTTCAGACCCAAAATCTAAAAAGAGTTAACTCAGATGAACAGGAGCACTTTAGTTGTTCAGAAGGAGCTCATTAAAGCAGCTGGTTCAGTTTCAGTTACTTCAGCAAATTCGATTAAATCATGATGAGATTTTAACAAAAAGGCTGTAATCCTTGAACTTTTAGGCCAAAATATACATAAATTCCTGCAACCCAGCATATGCATGAAATACCAGATCCAATCTGTGAGCACTCAGTAATGACCACATATCTCTATCAGCTCAAGCATACACATGCTAAACACTCCTTAAATGTTCCAGTGAGTAGCTGGCATTTAACTCACTCCTCGTTTTCCTTTCTAGAGCAAAACTTGCTTTGCTCAATCTGTGTTCTTCAAATCACAGAATCACAGAATGTTTTGGACTGGAAGAAATCTTAAGGCTCATCCTACACCCCTGCCATGGGCACTGACATCTTCCATTAGACCACAGTGCCCAAAGCCCTGTGTCCAACCTGGTGCTGAAAACTTCCAGGGACGGGGCACCCACAGCTTCTCTGGGCAACTTGCGCCAGTGCCTCAACACTTCACTGTAAAGATTTTTCTTCCTTATAGCTAATCTAAACCTGCCCTCTGTCAGCTTAAAGCCATTCCCTATGTTCTATCTCTACTAACCCTGTAAAAAGTCCCTCTGAGTGACTTTCTCACTTCCACGCTGCCCTCCTGTCAACCTTCTTCAGTCTGGCTGCATCCCTCTGCCAGTGCCTTACTCCCATCTGGACTTAAGATTTTAGCACAAGTGCCACCAACACTCAGCAGCCCAGAAAAATTACAACCTGTTTTTTCACATGGTGTCCACATCTTACACCTGCTGCTGATTTGACCAGAGACATGATCAATTCCCTAATATATAGAAGATGAAATGGAATCCCAAGCCATAGAGCTCCCTTAAGGGTCCAGTGACTTATCTGTAATCAGAACGAAACTGAAGAAGCAAATCAGAAAAGCTGAGTAAAAGTCCTGAAATTTGGGCATGTGATATTTCTCCCCTCCGCATATTGTTAAAAAGTTCAGATTCACCAAGTGTAAACAGAACAACATGAAGATAAGTAGAACGGAACATATCTCCTTCCCAGTTTAAATCTGTTTACCTTACAGCTGATTCCCATGAGTTCACATGCAGGAGGGATCCAGCTTAACCTGACTAAGAAGGATGTGATTAACGGGTCTGTCAGAAGAAGATAAGGCTTCAGTATCTTTCCCAACTTCACAAGGAAGAAAAGAGGTGAGCCTCTTCTCTTCAACCCCTCATCTCTGTGAGAACTCAAAATTGACTGAGGAAATCCCAAACAAAGAAAATTAGAAAAGACAATTACCAAACAGACAAAATGGGGGGGAAAAAAAGATGAGGTGAAGCTACTTATTACTTTAACCAAGCCTGGAACTCCAAAACGAAGTTTATTTCTGAAACAGGGACATTTCATCCTGTTAGCTCAGCCCTTGTGACTGTATCAGAAGATATTTTATTTGACACACAGAAATCTTTTGGAAGAAATATGAAATTTAAAACATTTTTAACACAACTCCTATCTGACCTAATGACTGACTAAATGATCCTGGCACTGATACAGAAAATAAAGGTAATTATATGATTTAATGTAGGACTTATAGATGGAAGCTAAGCCCTGAGAAGCTATCAGACTCATATAAATGGAATTTGTCAAATGGTATGAAATAAATAAACACGGGGTCAGTCTGATGGAAAGAGAAGTGGATGTGTACTGAAGTCTGCCCAAAGTGTCAAAATAGGGGCCTGGGTCATGAGAAAAATTCAGAAAATATCCTGCTCAGGCTGCTGGATAGTTTATCACCCTTGAACTTGGAGGTCTCCATCATTTTAAGATTCCCAGGGGTACTCTGATGCTCCAGCTTGAGCACATGGGTTTCTGAGGTCCAGAGCAATGCCATAACAGCACTATGCAAGTTCCCCAACAGGCATAAAGTCATTTGAACCAGAAAATTCTCAAGTGAAACCTCAAACAACAGGCTAGGAAACAGCAAGATTGACTTAAAGCTTTTCTGTGAGACTGCTTGTTAAAGCTGGTTGTTTTCTTAAATCATAAGCTATTCAAAAATGTCTTTGTTATGTTGTGAAGTTACAATTTACACAAGAGAAAAGACTCTTTAGGTATGTGACATTTGCTGTAACTGCCTTACACAAGCTATGAAATTAAAGCCAGGAGAGAGAACTGTGACTATCCAGAAAATCTACTGTTTTTTTCCAGTGGGATGAAGGAACAGAGAATGTCTAAAATGTCGCAGAATATCTGGCTCAGGAATCTATTTCCTCAACTAGACACTTCCACATAAAAACTGTATGTGCACTCATGGCTTGGGAAAACTTAATTATGCTTTCTTTCCCCTTTATATCCCAAGTGCAGCATGAGAAGATCCAAAATGCCTGATACTAAAACAAAGAGCTGTACAGGGTTTGCATGGCCAGGCTTTGGTAGCAGGGGTGCTACAGGGGTAGCAGAAGGTGTTGTGTCACATCAGAGGTCACCACCTTTGGTCGCATTTTTGGAGACAGGCACACAACAACTGAACACACTGAAGGTCACGCAAAACAGACTAAGTTTACTGATGGATGTCCCCTTTTATAGGGGGTTCAAAATTCCCGTGCTTGAACAACCAACTGGTCGAGGTTCCAAGGCTGCCCTGCCCACTGGCCAAGGATATGTCTGCATTCAGGATTGATTGGGATTGGCAGGTGCCCCCTGTTTTGAGTTCGACTCCTACTTATCATTGTCTTACCTAGAGACTTGGTAATGGACAAATCCATTTCCCACACTTCCACTCTTTAATGAACTAAGCTAGCCAAACTAGTTTCTGTTGTGGCAAATTTCATCTGGGCAGCTTCAAACCAGCTGTAGCTGTCACAGTAGCTCTGCAAGAAGCTGCTAGAAGCTTCCCCCATGACTGACAGAGCCCACATCAGACCGATCCAAGAAGGACCTGCTGCCAGTAAAGACCAAACCGCCAGTGACAGTGGCAGCACCTCTGGGATAATGTATTTAAGAAGGAGGAAAAAAACCTGCACAACTGCAGCTGGAAGAAAGGAGTACAAATATGTCAGAGGAACAGCTCTGCAGACATGGGGTCAGTGAAGGAGGAGGGGCAGGAGCTGCTCCAGGAGCCAGAGCAGAGATTCCCCGGCAGCCTGGGGTGCAGCCCTTGGTGAGGCAGCTGTGCCCCTGCAGCCCCTGGAGGCCCAGGGGGGAGCAGAGATCTCCTGCAGCCCTGGAGGAGCCCACACCGAGCAGGTGGATGTGCCTGAAGGAGGCTGTGACCCCATGGGAAGCCTGAGCTGGAGCAGGCTCCTGGCAGGACCCGTAGACTAGGGATCCATGCTGGAACAGCCTGCTCCTGAAGGACTGCAGCCTGTGGAAAGAATCCATGCTGAAGCAGATCAGGAAGAACTGCAGAGAAGGACTTATGTTGGAGAAGTTCAAGGAATACTGTTTCCCATGACTATTATACTCTGATTTAGTTTCTAATAAATTAAATGCATTTCCCCAAGTCCAGTCTGCCCAATGGTAATCAGCAAGTGATCTCTCCCTGCCCTTATCTTGACTCACAAGCCTTTTGTTACATTCTCTTGTCCCTATCCAGCTGAAGAAGGGAGCAATATGGTGGCTTTGGTGGACACCTGGTGTCCAGGCAAGATTAACCCCCTACAAAAGCCAAAGCTTTCTTGACAGCAAGACAACATAGTAACAGAATGCTGTGAAAAATCCTTGAAATTGGATTCCACAAGTTAAGAGAGTAACTAAGGGAACTGACAAAGGTTGGTTTACATATGGAAGACATTGAGAGTAAAGTCTCCAGAGACCTGAAACATCAGCTCATTTTTGTGGGGGGTTTAAAAAGGCTGTTGGTTTGCTTTTGTTTAAAGTCTTGCTTTGTCTGGACATACACATGCAAGGAAGGCTCAAACTCCTGTGTCTCTCAGAGACAGCACTGTTTCATGACCTTATCTGCGGGTATTTTAGCCAGGACATCTTTAGCCACTGAAAGAATGTGAAAGAATATTTGAAACTGAGATGGGAGGAAAACTCTCAGATGTATTTCACGTAATTCTGGCTGGACAAAACTGGAAGCAAGGTTCCCACAAGAGCCACCCACCCTCAATCATACAATGATGTCAGGTGAAGAATCAGCACAGGATTTGGGCAGCTTTCTGTTATTTGAGTGTTACCAGGAAAGCCTGTCTGTCTGAGGAAGCCAGCTTTACTTTAAGAGTTTAGCAGCAGGAAAACACCTTAAATGTTGCTAGTGGAATGTGAAAACATTAAGGGCCTCCATGATAATGGGAAAGACATGGAAATATATGCTGAAATTCTGGCTGCTGAGAAAATGGATGAAAACAGTCAAGAAGTTCTCAAGCCACAGGAAAAAAAAATATATCCTTGATATTTGAAGGATTTTGCAATTGATTTTCCAGATTAAACATATCAGGCTCAGCAGCACAGTTTTTAAATAGAGCTGGTTTGTCTGTACAGTTCCAAACAGTTCCATTTGAAATACAGCATGGACAGAGCACAGCCCTGCCTTCCAGCGTGCAGTAAGCATTTGACTCATGATTCTCAATGTTCTTTAGAAGCAGACCTTCTGTAAGAAATGTACATGCAGAACCACCTGTTCTGTTGCAGTGTCACAGACAGGACATAAACAGAACGAACGCTGCACCCTGCAGTAGCACACCCTGAGTAACAGAGGTCTGGAATCTTAATTCAATGACAGGTGACGGCAGAAAATGTTGTTTGAGGTTGGTTTTGGCCTAAATGTTAGGCTGTTATCATTTGTCATGGCTTTACTGGGATTTCTTCTAAAAAAATCTCTCTCAACCATATTTTCTTTCATCAGAAATTTTACTGGAAGTCTGCCTGCTCTAGGTTCATCTTCAATGGTGTTATTTGTTACATGAAATGGAAACAGTAGCTGAAATTTAGGAAACCAATTCAGAACCAGCAATAGCTGACAAAACAATTAACTGAAAAATACTACTGGCGAATGAAACTGGAAGTTTAATCCTGATCTTCCTTATCCTATCTGTCTTATTTTTTCATTAAAAAACACATTGCTACCAAGTTTGCTGCTACTGTGGGGAGTGGCTGCTCCACCTGAAGGCTTTGTTGCCATGCAATGGGACCTTGATGGTGGGGAGCTGGGCAAGGAAAAACTTAATGGGGTTCAAAAAGGGCAAGTGTAGGGTCCTGCTGGGGAGGAATAACCCCAAGCTCAGTTTGGGGTCTGACCTGCTGGAGAGCAGCTCTGCTGAGAAGGACCTGGGTTGCCCATGGCCCAGCAGCGTTCTCTGGCAGCCAGGAGGGCCAATGGGCTCCTGGGGTCCATCGGGAAGAGTCTGGTTGTTCTGGGTTCCTCAGTACAAGAAAAGCAAGGAGCTACTGGACAGGGTCCAGCAGAGGCCACAAAGATGATTAAAGGACTGGACCACCTCTGTGAGGTGCTGTGAGGACAGACTGTGGGGGCTGAGTCTCACCAATGCATATAAATATCTCAAAGTCAGTGCCAAGAGGATGGTGCCAGACGCCTTTCAGTGGTGCCCAGGGTCAGGACAAAGAGCAATGGCCATAAACTAAAACAGGAAATGCTACCTCAACACGTGGAAGAACTTTTTTACACAGAGGATGGGAGAGCACTGGAACAGCTGCCCAAGGAGTTGGTGGAGTTTCCCTCTCTGGAGACATTCAAACCCACATGGATGTGTTCCCATGCCACCTGCCCCAGGTGACCCTGCCTTGGCCGGGGGGGTTGTAATGGATGGTCTCCAGAGATTACTTTTAACCCCAACAATTTTGTGATTCTGTTGAATAATCTACACCTTACAGTTATGCACAACCCAAGAATCAAACTGCAGACTGATAACGATTGCCCTTGTATTTAGTAACTAGCTGTTCCAAAGCAAGTTAAAAAGCAGAGTCATTGACTCTGCCTCTGCAATACAGGGTAGCATGATACTGAACCAGTTCAGATATTAGTACACCTAACATCAAGTACACCTACCATACAGATCTGAGTTTGGAAGTAGTAAAATCACATTTGTGCAGTGGATGAGCTCTAGTTACTGGGTGCAGTGATGCCTGCAGGCCCAGTGATGCAGCTCTACACCACACTACTCTGCTTCTTGTTCTGTGGTTGACACTGGAAAAGATGGTTTAGATCTATTCAAAACAAATAGTACAGACATGACTTCAACAGCTTTTCTTAGTGCAGTATCTTTTCAGGAACTGAACTAGTTACAATCACAGCCATTATCACCAGAGCTCTGAAAAAACACCAAAGTGTAGAGAAGAACCACTGCCTTTTTGGCACACCAGCACAGAGGAGCACACCAGATTTCTCTCTCTAATTCATTAGAAAACTTATAATTCAGTGACTTCTCGCCTTCACAGACGTTTCTCATAGGCACGTAGCTTTGACTTTTTATACAAGACATTAAAAAAATTGTGTAGCTTCATACCTGTGTTATAAACGGGAACCCAGTGGTAGAATTCGTTCTGGTAGGGAACTGTATCAAATTCACTGCACTGCATCTGACGGAAGGTTGGCAAGTCTTTGTGGCAGGGGCTGATGTTACACATGCGATAGCGTTTCCTCTCTCCGGTGCAGTAGTCTCCTCCAAACTGGGGTCTAGAAAAGGAACATTGGGACTGGGACATGAGACCATGGATAAAAAAAAAAAGAAGTTTTAAACAAACAACATATTTCAGGCCCCAGGAGCACAACAAGGTGACTCTGAATCCTTGACAGGGTAGAGATACTCTTCACATGACGTTTGAGTACTCAAACATGTCAGTACGAAGCACAGAGATCTAGACAACTCCTGTATCTCAAAAAAGTGCTTGGCACTACCTGGCTGAGCTCACAACAAATTAACCTATCAAATGGACTTTAAATCCCATGCTTTGCAGTGTGTTTGACAGTTCTCTCTGAAAAGACAAATGATTCCTGCCATTAGTGATTTGTGAAAATGAGACGAGGAGTCTTCATGAACTTAGATATGTAGTGGGGAATTCTGCATTTCATGTTCTGTACTTGACTCATGTGTCTGAAGCTCAAACGAGGCTGATGACTAGAAGAAAACATAAAAGGTTAGTCTTCAGGATCAGACTTCTAGAAACTGTTCTCACCTGGTGTTTGAGGACATTTATTTACTCATTGTAGTATTAAAAAAGCAATACTTACACTATTTCTGCAAAGCCTAAATGTTAAGTATGGTTTTTTACCCATTTTGCACTGAAATAAGCTCCGTGGAGGATAAGAAATAAAGAATAAGACGACTGTAAAAGATGAGGCAGCTGAATTTCACACAGGTATGCCTAACTGGGAAGAGAGGTGTCAGTATCTGTGACGTTTTGATATGGCACCTGCTAATAAGAGTCTCATACAAGAGAGTTTCCAATGTCGTAAGAACCTCAAAATCTTAAACAAAAAGTAGGGAAAAGGGAAAGATAGTGCACTCAGCTTACTCTGGACTATCACACAGCCTCTCTGCACTTTGAACTCCTGCCCCACATGTCCTTGTGCAATGGGACCAGGATGACCAAACGCCCCACTCGCCATGGATTGCTTCGGGAGTCTTCCCCACTGTAATGCACTCACCAGAGAAGCACCACTGAGGAGAGAACAGAAAGCACAAAGAGCTTCAGATCATTATGACAGGGAAATTATGAATTTTTTGAGTTTCTGTGAATTATTTGTTCTTTCAGCTCATGAGGGTTGAACACTTAAGCGGAAATTGTAAATGGAGATGTCACAGGATGACCGTCCTTCCCACTCAACAATAGCAGAGCTACTCATGGCTCCTCCCTGTGCTTTGGCAGGCAGCACAGCTTGCAAACAGCGCGGCTCACAGTCACCTTGTTTTCTCCACACCGAGTGCCGTCTGCAGCTGCATCCAGTTTGGAGCGGCAGGAGCCTTTCACGGAGCACCAGAGGGTCTGGCAAAGGTTCTGAAAAAGGAAGAAAACTGCAGCAGTCTGAGGCAGGGCAGAACTCCTATGGTCAAGATTTTCAAAAGCTTTCCAGATTTTTGTACAGCCACTTAAAAAGCCTTGTAAGGGTTATATTTCCAGAGGGATCAGGGTTGTTCACAAGATAGGAACTACCGAGGGTCCAAATTTAGGTACTAGCCATTACTGTGCAAAAAGAGACTATTTGAAAAATAAAGAAATGGTAAATACTATCAAGTGAATTCCCTGCATTATGTGACTTCAAATATTCTCCTATTTGGCTGCTCAGCTCCCAGATAAACACAAGCAAAATGGCTTAACAAACTTTGGACACTGCTGTTTGCAGATAAGGTGAACGAAAAAAGACAAATTTTCATTTGACGAGTACTAACCAATACCATCTTCAATTCTGCATTGCTGTCTGCCTGAAAACATACAGTGAAATCAAAGAAGGTTACAGAAGCCAGGCAGGCAAATACAAACAGCATCATGTCTCCAACAAAATTAATGGAGGTCCCAAAACTAGAAGAGGAAAAAGTGATCAGGCTTCTTTAAACATCAGCTTGGCAGATGACAAGGAAATGATCTGAAAAAAAAAAAAGCAGTCAGCCTAGTTGGCAGAGAAAAAAGCATAGTGGGCTGGGAAGAGTAAAGGCTCTGGTTAGTGAATGTTTGTATGTTAAGTAACTCAGAAACTGGTGCCAGTTTAATGCAGTAGGTTGCCAATAAAACACAGCATTCCAGATGCTGCTCCATGTGCAGTGGCTCAGCTCCACAGAACAGACAGAAACTCCTGAGAGGCAACAAAGAAAGCAGGGCAAGAAACATTTCAGCTGTCTTTTACCAAACCCACTTCACTCAGCCAGAACTATCCGCTAGAAAGGGAGGACAGAGCTGGAGGGCCCTTTCTCCCTCTTCAGTTCACATGCACACCAGCTTTTCTTTGTTTGGCACGCAGGAGCCCTGCATGCTTGGAACTCCTGACTGATCAGGGCTCTGCATGAAACACCACTTCCAAAGCAAAGAAAGCAGGAGTCTCAGAGGGACTGCACACTGCCAACAGGAACAGCAGAAGCAAAAGCCCAGTCCTGACTCAGGCTGTTTGGATGCCATAGTCCAGCTGTGGAAGAGGAACAGCATCAACCTGTGAAGAAGGGACGGCTCCAAGTGCCACCAGAGAAAAGAGTTGATAAGGACCCCACTAGCAGTTCCCACTGGGATTCTGAGAGCAAGCCACATACCAGATTTGGAAGTTAACATATAAACTGCACACTTCCAAAAATGCAGCCCCAACGAGCTAGCAGCAATGTTCATCCAAGTGGGAAATGCAGAGTTTGGCTGCCCATTTCTGAGCTGCTTCTGTTTAAAACAGCCAAGCTTGGGCACAAGCTTTGAGAGAGTTCACTTTCATTTACTTTTTCTATTGTGTGTTTACCTTGGCTTGTCAACTGGAGCACCAGAAAAAAGCTGATGGCATGGAACATCTCAAAGCACTCCAGCCCTCCATCTGGAATACAATGTCTGGGCCACTGCATCTTGGTTCACTGTTTTTGGGCAATGTACATAAGACAAACCTTGTTTTGCAGTTCTCTGTTTATAGTTCAAGGGTAGCATTCCTTATGAAGGCCTTGTGAAGCCATCATTACCAGGTTCTTAAGACAGAGCTACCCAAGTGCTCTGGCTGATAAATTTTCTCTCATTATCAAAGTCATCCTTTATTTTAACTTTCATACACAGAATATATTTTGTGGTTTTAGTTTATAAAGTGTACTCTTGCACAATGCCTCAGACAACATCAGAGAAACTGGCATAGAAAATGAACACAGCTTTTCATTGGCAGTTACTTTTATTGTTAGGTGCACAAATAGATTTCAAAGTCAAGAATTCACCAAGGGAATTCTTTAGCTTTGCAAGGATTTTTCCATATTTATCTCCACGTCCCACAACTGTTTTTCATCTCTAAGAATACTGAAACAACAGCAGAGGAGATGCACTACAATATGAAAAACAACAATATGAGAGGATGCACTATGTACTGCATGCCTTTGGAGGTAACATGCAGAAATTCATGATTGTGCTATGGACTCAATGCAAAGCAAGTGTCTTTTCATCAGCAGTATGATATACACTTTCCACCCAATCTATGAGAATAGGATCTGTTCCTTGAAGAAAGTTGAATCCAAAAAAACCTCAGTTTTATGGAAGCCAATGGAAGTTTTGGATAAAAAGGCAGTAAGATAAGCATTCTGATATCCTACAGGTTGTTCTATAGGAAGCTATGGGTCTAGCTATGACTTAGAAAATTCCTCCATCTAATACATATTTTGCTCTTCTTTGCCTTATTAGAGGGACAATATTTATATACTTCACAGGACACTTTACTGTCTAAGTGCTTAATGAAAACCACTATCTGAATTATAAATATTAGTTTTTGCTAAATATAATCACTGAACCCCAGGGCATCTTCAGCTAAATGCAGATTGTTCTCTCAAAAAGGATCTGTGGATCAAATTCAGTCAGACATTAAAATGTACAAAACCAAAGCAGCTTGTCAGTGAGCAAGGCTAAGTAAACAGAGGAAAGGCAAAAAAGAGTCAGACCTCTTAGACAAAATGACAAAAGGACTTATGATTCAACATTCCAGGTTGACCCTACTGTTCCCAATTCCATCTCCTGCCAGTGCAACTACCAGCAAAATACAAGCCTTTCAGTAAAATGCAGAACGAGAGGATACCAATTAATTTTATGACATAGGTCCAGCTGTAAAATTGGTTAATCAGGAGATGCGAATGTAAAGGCCTATTAGGTTCAAATTCAAGGAGAGACAGACTGAGCCAATACTGCAAAATTACATCCTAATTTTCTATCTGTACCGACAGACAAATTACAGTAACTAAGGAAACTGTAACAGCAGGTAATGAAAGCAATCTTTCAATACCTTCTTCAGATTCAGCAGTTGTAGTTCAACACTGGTAATCATGTTATCCATTAAGGTTGAAAAGATTAATCAGAAATAATTTCTCTAAGAGAAGGGTAGATGGAGATACACACAATTATCTGTCAACATCAGCAGTGCCCAGTCCACAGCTGTGTTCATACCAGTACTGCCAATAGCCAAATTATATCTGTGTTTGACAGGGCCAGTAGACTGGGAGCTGTCTCCAGCATTTACTGAACGCTGCTGCTCAAAACACAGGAAAATTAGTGATCACCTAGCTGGGCTAGCACTTGGCAAGATGGTTGCTGAGCTGTTCTACGTATAAATATGCTGTGTTGGAGTGCATGAAACAGAAGCCTCTCTGAGTCCCTCAGAGAGAATAAGAAATTCAGGGTTTTAATTAGAACCGCTAGAGAAGAAGCTGAAATATATTAAGCCACACAGACATGAACCAGAATTAATTAATTTTAAGCAAGTAGAAATGTATTTCAAGTGCCTTAAGAGACTGTATTAGCTAGTAAAAGGCCCTAAAGCCCAGTTTAACTTAGGTCCAGGCATAACAAAAACATAGCAGAACATTGCTTGCCTTTCTAGATGGAATAGACAGAACTACTCACATATATCAATACAATTATATTTGTTGATTTTGGGTAAGAAAACACATAGTACCATTTGTGTAAATACATAAAATTATGTATGTCAATTTTGGGTAAGAATTGACACCACTTTCACACATTAGAATTAAGCTCAGACTGGTGTAAGAAATGTGTTTTAAATCATGCTTTTAGCTGATTGGATGATTTAGGAATAAAATCCCTTGCATTGGGGTGAGAAAGAAGAAGGAAGAAGAAGAAGAAAGGTGTGGGAGCTGCTGCTGCTGTTTTTGCTCAAAACATCGGGACTTTGTGCCAGAAAGCTTTTGGCACGGACTTTAATACTCTGATCTCCTTGCCTTTGAGACTGATGTACTCATGCAAAAAACAACTTCAGTACAACCAACAACTGCTCTTGTGTCTTTGAAGACCCAGCACCCACGATAACCTTGACAATGCTGTACAGACCCAAAGACTCCAAACATTCCAGGTACCATTATTCCAGTAAGACGCCATACCACTGTACTTTAGCTAATTCAACCTGTTACTCTGCAGGGCTCCACAACCTTGTGAGGGTTGCTGTGACTACACTGCTCCCCTGCATCCCCTCACAACACTTTTTTGCTATGCTGTGAGACAGACCTCAGGGTACTCTATGAATTATACACTTCTGCATAAATATCTAATGTTCCATGCAAAAATATTGGTTTTTCACAATAAATATTTTCCACAGGGACTGAAATATTCTTTTGTTTGTTAGATCATAAAGAGTATGAAAAGCATGATGGGAAGAGAACACAACCCTAATTTCTACAGAAAACTCTTCCTGGAACTGGAAGATTTGTTCCCAGAATGATGTGATCAATTGAAAGCCACAAGGTTGAAGAATACTTTACAATTTGACTTAAATTGCATTAATAATTTACCTAAGAATTAATATTACAAATTTAAAACCAAAAGGACTCCACTGCAGAAGGACAGACCCTTACCCATAGGTATGGCTGAGATCCAGCAAAGATTTTGTGAAATACAAGGCAAACAGCATAACAACTTGCTTCCAGAATATGCAGAATTAAGTGTGTTAGGCAATGCCTGCACTGCACATCTAGTCTGAGACTCTAAACACACTGCATTTGTAAATGAGGTGCACTGAATACACTTCCATGCTGCTCAAGAATTTTGAATTCTTACTAGGAGAATGAAGAAAAACACTGAGCACTTACATCCACATCTTCACAGAATGTAGCATTGGAACCATACTGAAGCTGGCATTGGTGGTGCACATCATAAATCACTCCAGGAGCAATGATTGGGGACTTCAGAACTTCTTTTTGGGGGATGTCATCCAGACAGAATCCCCACCCACGACTAAAAGACAGAAATTCCATATGAAAAAACTCCCTACCATCACAGTTTTTTGATGTTTCTATACCAACTTTTAGTATACTTCTTAGGGGTAATTTTGATTATGGCCCATGTAAATAATACTTCCAGATTCCAGCCAAGTTAGGCTGAAATGCTGCAAACAAAGTAGTTACTCTGTCTAGCAAGAGATGGTTTTAAAACAGCAAAATACAGCTTGTCAAAGAGGAAATACCATGAGCTCAGTATGATTTACACAGTGTCTTCAGAGAACCCCATAGTCTCGGGTTGAAGTTATACCACACTGCTGTGTGGTATAACTTGTGTCTTAAAACAAATGGAACAGATTTGAACAAGTCACTGAAGCCAAACACATGGCACTGTGGCCAAAGGCAGAGCCTATGAAATTCCGCCAGTGCCCTTGATGGAAAGGCTTCTTTCTTTCTGGTAACTGCAAAAAGCTGCAGATTGCACCAAACCCGAGCCAATATGACAAGCCTTGAGTTCACTTCCAGACTGCAAGTCTTTAGAGAGCTTTTCCCAAATAAGTAAGCAACAGGACAGTGATATGTCGCCCATGGAAATTAACTCAAGCATACCAAGACCTCCTACAATAATCAGTGCAATAATACAAGATATATTTTGAACTCCAGCACAGTTGTGCTCAATTTAGGCAAATGCCACAACCTGACCACTCACTCTAGGAACCGTGTGATGTACTCCTTGCTGCACTGGGACCAGGTGAGGGGAGTAGGATCATACTGCAACTGTCGGGACATGATATACGGGCGCTTTCCAGCAGGCTCACAGTCATTCTCCTTTCCATCGTGCTGGATTCCAAAACTGGAGATAAAAAAACAGCATCTAATAATTCCAGCCGACTGGCTGTACCGAAACACCTACCTACAGGTTCCACTCCATGCTTAAAAAAGACACTTATGTTGCTTCCTCTCCTGCAGAGCTGTAGTTATCTGTTTGCTAAAAGAAAATGTACACACAGAACATACGACTCAAAATCTACGAAAAATCTACACCCCCACAGGCTTTCAAACATGTCTGTTACGCACAACAATATTGGCCTGCACAAAATAAAGAACACACTGTCACAGACTATACTTCTGTACTTTTAAGGGAGTCCAAACACTGGTGCACAGTTGGGGCAGAAATCAAAGTTTAAACCCAAAAGTCAGGTTACAGCTGTTACAGCTAAGACAGCTCCCTAAATCTTGAACCCCAACTGGCACCACTTTAACTAAGATGAGGCTTTGTTACATTCTGTCTTAGCCTCTCTCATAATTATGTCTCTGCTGCTTTTTTCATTTTTAAAACTTTTGCTAGACTGCACCAGAGACACTGTTTACAAAATTATTGAATATTCATTGAATTTTCCTCCAACCTCTATTCCTTCATCCCATTTAATTTTCTCAATCTATGCAAACAGATCTCCACAGCAGGTTCTCTCCAGCATCTCTGACTTGCTGAGAAATTTTTTTATTCAACAGCTTGCAGAAGTCATAAACTCAAACGTTTGAATGGTATTCAACTGAGTAAACACACATGCCTCTTCATCACCTCAGAGTGAGGATTATCTCATAATATAAATAATAACATATACAAATACTGATATATGAAGATGTTGACACCTACATTGTTAACATCTGGAGGTGTGTAAGTCCTGAAAGCAGTGAGAGCTTACTCAGGTCATGATTCAGTCACGAATCAGATAAAGTGTGTTCAAAATACTTAAGGCTACGTTTCTCAAAAATGTAATCATATCATGACTCAAAAGTTCTGAAAGCGGAGGTAATTTCAGTCAGAACCAATTCCAGTAATGAGTCAGAAGCACAAATGCAAGGATCTCCCCTTTCTGACAGGCTCTTTTCCACAAACAGGGTCTGTTGAATCCTAAGGCTGCAAACATCTAGAGAGACAGTGTGGGGAAGAGCTGACTATTGGCATTCATCTAAGGTATTCCGGGAGCACGTCTGTCCTCTTTTGTTCATGTGTTCTTACAAACTTGTCTATACTTGAACTTCTCAATGTGAGCACACTAGCCTGGCTTGAGGTAGGTTAACAGGCTGACAATAAAACCTACACTATTTGATATTCGTTATGGAGACAGTCCTTAAGGAAAGGCCCTGCACCACTCCTGCAAGGGCAAGCACAGCAGTACTGAGCCTCACAGCCTCCAAAGGACACAGTCACCAGCCAGCCAGCCCAGACAAGGAGAAGGTCACAGATGGGGAAGGTCACAGATGGGTCTGTGGGGAAGGAGTCTCCTCAGATCATTGGTGAGAATGAAAACAGCTCCCTGCCAGCAACAGGCTATGGGGACCAAGTGACTTAAACCCACAGCACCCAGATCCAACTGGAGTGATTTCAGCGTTATTTATTTATATACTTTCCTTTCTGGCAGTGGAGAGGTTGAATAAATAATGGCCAATTAATGGTCAACAGGGTCATTACCATCATCATCACCGTCATCATCATCATTATATCCTATGAGGAAACAGAGGCTCCATCCTGATCCTCTGTCCACCCTGTGGCTGTGTGCACAGTGAAATTAATATGATTGTAGATAAAGCAATGAACATGTGACTTAGCCAAGCAACAGAGTCCAGTTGAAAAGTGCAGGCAAAAAATTACAGTCAAACCAGAGTATCCATGAGATAATGCTCTGCCCTGAGGAAAAGAGCTGTGTCAAAACAGTTTCAAAAATCTTTTTTTTTTTTTTCACATGAGTTAATAAACCACCTAACCAACCAAAGCACCTCCAAAAATCTAAAATTCTAAGAAATTTAGTTCAAACAAAAATATCCAATCATTAAAAAAAAAAATTAACCATATCGAAAACAAAATATCCAGGAACTTTATTTAACTTGGTCTAAGGGTATACCCACAATAGCATTATTATACAGAAAATAAGTTACTAAGAAATACCCTAAAAAGACTTTGCTGGTTCTTTAAAAAAAAAAAGGATAAATATTAAATATATTATAAGATGAACATATGTTTTTCTATATGAGTTTCACCATGAGTTAAAAATGTTTTCTAGCTAATCTGCACTACTGAAACACCTTGACATAGTGAGATAGGTTTGTTTTCTGTAAATGTTTTGGATTGACCTAGAGATTATCTAAGTAATTGCATAAAAATCTAGCACACATTTGGAAAAATCAGCACAATTGAGTGATGCTTCTTTGTAGCTTAATTATTTCATTCTGATGTACTGAATAGCTGTATATGTGAAACACGCATCAAAGGCTTAAGAATTTTTTTTTTGCTTTGAAATAAGTTCTGATTTTAATAATAGAGACATTAACTCACTTTTTTGTTTTGTTTTCTGTCTCACAATTTGAGTATTAACATGCAAATAACAAATTTGACTCAGACAGGTTCCCCCTTCCCTGTCAACTGTACCTGTGTCCAAGTTCATGAGCAATAGTGAAAGCCAAGGGGAGGCCAGAGTCCTCGTTGATGTTGCAGCTCCTGTGAGGCTGACACATGCCTGAGAGGTGAGACAAGCCTAAGGTTTCACAGGGACGGTTCATGCCAGCACAAATGTCCTTTCTAGAACCAAAAAAGAGATGTGCCATTTAAAGAGCTTAAAACCAGCTGTGGAGTGTCACTAACATGGGTAGCAAGCTTCCATCTTACAATGTGCTAATTTTCATTTTGAATAACTCTTGGGGGTAAGTCTTTTACAAACATGTATGGAACAACATGCACTTGTTCTACTACGATATTATACTGCTATAATTTGTACCCAGTATTATGTGGCTGTCATGCCTAGATACATACACTTATTGTCAACTCCCGTAAGTCAAAGTTTTAGAACCTCCATGTCTGGCAGCATTTTAAAGCACAGTTTATTAAAGTCACCATAGCTCAGTTTCATTCAAGTGAACTGTCTGAGTACTTTACATTTGGACAGAGAAATCTCACATCATTGTGAGACTTTATCTCACACTCTTAATTTGAGATTTTTGACTGAGAATAGGGATCAGAAAGTGGGGAATGGTCAAAGGGCACACTTGATGATCTTGGAGGTCTCCTCCAACCTAACGATTCTGTGACTCTTTTTTACTGAGCCACTTGAGGGGTGGTTTAGGTTGGGTTTTTTTGCCTGACAGACTTTAGGCAAGGGCTGGTGTTTTTTAGATCACAGACTCAATCTTTTCTGCCACCTGTGTACAGACTAAATAAATTTTTACAGACCTGCAGAAGTCCCATTTCATGCTATGACATAAACTCCCTGCATAATCTCAGACAACCTCACTTTCAAGTTTTCTGTTCCTCCCTTGCTTGGACATTAAAAATTATTTTGTGTCTCCTTCAATACGGAGATATTTAAAAACCATATGCTTGCTTTTTAAAAATGAATGGCATCCTGTTTGCATAATACTCGTCCTTTCTGAGCTGCACCTGCACATTTCTTCAGGAGCTGCTCATCTACATGCTACCTTGTTTTGGTATATTGTCTCAAAGGAGAATAGAGCAGTCATTGAGCACAAAATGAGATAGGATCAAGCAGGGAAAGTGACCTGAGCTGTGGAAATTGCTCACCTCTTGGGACCCACAGATCTCTATTTTGTGACTAAAATGCATCTCTAACCCATATGCACATGTAGCATCAATATTTGGACCACTTTTCTGAGCTCTGTGCAGGATGAACTAAGTGATGGCCTGAGCCTATAAAGGAAATATCACCATCAAAGAAATGCAACTGAACAGCAGTCAGTCACTGCTGTCATACCTGGTAAGAAGGACAGCCACATCATGGTGTGTGGGATTGACATCACTCTTGGGATTGACACTCTTCTGCCACTTGCAGAAGCTGGCTAATGTCTTATCAGCATGGTGCACTATCTTCAAGCCTTGCTAATGGGAAAGGAATATATTACTGTAAAGAAGGAATATATTACTGTAAAGAAGGAATATATTACTGTGAAGACCACACTGCATTGCAGTAACACTTCAATGAAGTCAGCTGTGAAGATGGGTAATCTAAATGTAATCAATTATGCTTTTGCCTAAAGTTAGAGCCATCATTAGGAGCAATGACACCACATTGAATACTAAGTTAAAATGCTGATATTTCTGTAATTGGTGCAGCTAAAGGAAAAATTACAGAATGCAAAACTCTACATACATTTTGATAAATGAGCTTCATAAGACCCAACACTGAACTGAAACTTTCAAGCATTTTATATTCTCTTGAAATCAAATTTTCCTCTGAAGAGAAGGTGAAGATTACTTATTGTGGGACTTTGTGATCAAATTTGTCAGTTAATGTTATGTGAACACTGTCATATTCAGACAACAATTATGATTCTAACAGAGTATTCATTGCACATTATTTTTCAATTCCAAAGAGAAACAATGCAGTCATAAATGTTTCTTCCTCAACTTATTATTATACAGTTTACATGCGAATTACTGAAAACCTTAAATAAAAAGTATGCAAAATTAATTAATCCAAAACTGAATTTTCTAATTTCTGGTCTTGGACATTTCACTTTATCTTGCTTCAGTTTGTTTTGTTTTTAACAAGCATCAAAGTATGGGATTAACTGTTACCAGACAGTAATTTCTGGGGAACCTAAAAACAAATTTTGAAAGGTATTTAACACTGCTGCTTCCAACATTGCCATTACTCAACAGAAATCCACATTTTTTATCCAAACAGCCACAGAAGTTCAGCAAATACAGTTAATTGGAGGTCATCATGGATCTCAGGTCCTGATTGTCTTGTTTAGGTGCAACCTCAAGTTTTTATCCCATTTATGCTGAGAGCTATAAGGAAAGATTCTATCCCAATAAATATTTCTGAAGACACAGCCATGAGGTTTGGTTTACTGCCTTTGATAACACTGGGACCATCTGGCTTGTGGTTATAAATTCTAAGCCACTGAGAAAATCCCTTTAAGGTGCACCTGTGGTCAGAGCTAGCTATATTGTGCACAGGACTTAAAAATAACCATAAAATCATGGCAATCAGCATGTATTTAAGCACATAGTAACATATTTGTGAGACACAGACATTGGAAACTATCAATATAGAGCTGGTTAAAGCAATTAACACCTACTTTGTCCTCATTTTACTTTGTTTCAAAAGAGATTTAAAGAAAAATATGTGTTTGAACTGCACAATACGAGACTTATCTCTTCAGAGATCTGCAAATACCATAGCACTACACTTCACAATACATTTCAGGCAATGCTAGGTAATTAGATCCTGAATGTTGACGTGTAGTTTCTGTTTCTTATCTAGTCTTCTTTAGCATCCCATGTTCTTCTTACACTGGGGATATTCCATTTCCTCATTCTTAACCTGCCTGTTTTAATTACATTTTCCTATGCAATTTTATGCAGAATACCTGAAGTCATCAGCTAAAATACTTTGCTATCCAGGGCAGCATTTCTGTTTTTATTACAGTTTTAATTACATTTTCCTATGCAATTTTATGCAGAAATACCTGAAGTCATCAGCTAAAATACTTTGCTATCCAGGGCAGCATTTCTCCTAAAATGTTGTAGGTTTTAACAGAGTAAATTTAAAAAATTATTTTAAGCAAATATAATTACAGCTCAATGCATTGTACCCAGAAGTTTTGTAAGTGATATTTTGAGGTAAATAAAAACCTTACCTCCACCTCCTCAAAGAGGATGAGCCGGACCAGCACAATGTGAATTGCATTGCCAATGCTTGGATCGTGGAACAACCCTGTGACCTGTGCCAGAGCCAAGAGATATGAGATTAACTGATTCCTCTATAGCAGAACACAACTTCAGAGAGAAAATATGTTTACTTCTAGCATACTGTTGATCTGGGGATTGTTTTACTTTTTAAATTCTAAAATCATTGAAAGTTTACTGAAATCAAATACATATTATACCTACTGCAAAGGCTAACTCTGCCTAATGAATGATGATACCGCCTTTGGCAAAAGTTACTAAGCTAAAGAGCAAAAGCCCAAACAAGATTAAAATGATTCAAAAATTTCTGAGTTCATAAAAAATACTAGCAGAAAGGAACACAACATCTACAGTTATACAACAGTGATGGACAGGTCCACTCAGGGTGCAAATAAACCAGCATATCAAATTGTCCTGTTTCAAACAAACAGGATTCTGTTACAAAAAAAAGCAAATTTAGTCAGTACTAGGCAAACAGAAATTAGTTGAATAATGGCTACTCTTGTGTTTTCAGAGTACAGGAGAGGATGGTAAGTACGAAAGCAAAGATAACAACTCCATTCAAAAAAGACTCCACATAAAAAAGAACAAGAACTGAACTCTGCAAAAATGTGACCCAATTGTTATAAACATCATTACAATGTTGAATTAGGCAGGAGGAAAAGGAATCAGAGCAGAAGATAATCACAACCTATTCATACATATCTATATGTGTGACCTATGCCATCTATTATAGGAAATACGAATGAAAAAAATGGACTGCCTTTGGGTCAAAACTGTTATGGAGAAGACCACTAAAGGAGAAATACCAAAATGAAGTAGAAATTGTGTTTACAGAGGTCTGATTTGGGTATGGATCTTTTTCAAAGTACTCTACTGAAAATTGAAACATTTCAAATAACCCTAATATCTAAGGTCAGACTGCAGAGAAAATGTGGAGTCTTGTTTGTTCCTGAACCTGGTAATGACTGGGTTTTATTCCAAGCATTCTTCCCTGTGTGGACAAAACCTCACGTGCTCAAACAACCTTTGTACCTGTTTATTCACACTCATTGCCTCAGCAGCAAGTTAGGGCACTGCTTGGGGCACAGCTGGGAACATACTGTATAAACTCACAGGGCAGAGCAGTCACGATGGCTAGAATTACACTCTGATTACCTCCACATATATTGCACATTTCCATGATAACCAGACAGAACACGTCCTCAATGTACTCTCAAGCTCAATATCTACCATAGCACACATAATATTGATAACAGGTATTAATAACAGAAGGCTTATCTATGGGCAGATGCTATGGCTTTTTCCCGAACAACTTCTATTTTGAAACTTGCCACACAGGAAAGCATTTGAAGTTCAACTTTTCCTTATTCCAATGCAAACTTTGTACTCCAAGAAGAATACTTATATGGAAAAACAGTTGTATTGGCATCAGCTGGGACAGTTAACTTGCCACATAGAAGTTCATATACTGCTGTTTGGATTTGTCACCAAAACAGTAACAAGCTGGTTAAAAAAAGCTAAAATGGTTTGCAAAGTTACTACAATTTCTAGTAGGCTCCTGTGTACCTTTCTCAACCACAAATATGTAAAAGAATTTACATACTTAAAACCTGCAGAATTTCTCTCTGTCATAGCCAAAAATCTGGCATCACCACTGAGCAACAGGTTCCAAGGGAGACAGATTATTTCAGTGGAAAGAAAGCTAGTCTAGCCTTTACAGATGTGAGACTTATCTCACATAAATCCAGAGAAAAATTGTGCCTATACAAATACAAAGTAAAAAATAGTTTAAAATACAGAGTTTCAATTCATATATATTAATGATACTACATTTTTCTCCATGAGCAACACTGCAGATCTGTTAGAAGATCAGCAGCAGAATCAAATTCAGATTTGCTTCATTCGCCTATCCACAAACCCCAAAGCATTGTACATACCATATTCATTATAGTGAGGATATATGACTCCACATGGTCACTTCCATGATATTCAACCATTTTACTGTCTGCCACCACAAGCGTCTCCACCCATCGCTCCTTGCTGACAGAGCGCCGGGAAACCCTCCTGGCAGCTGCGTGATTTTGTTCCCATCTCTCCCTTCGATGCTGCTGCTGCTTGAAAAAGCTGTGGGTATCTGGAAGGGTAAAAAGCAATGCTGACTTGAAAATATTTTCAATCTTGAACTGTATGGCTGTAACACCTACAGGATGATATTAGAAGTGACTTTTCTGGCTGCCACCCTCCGGACCCACTGCAGAGGCAACTCCGAAGTGACACCAGACTGCTAAGGGTGCTGTCCAGTGAAGTTCTGAATTTTCTGAGATGGATTAAACACACACTAAAAAGTCACTCCACTCAAAATGCAAGGGATTAGCATTGTGAGACAGAGCCAAGCTAGAAAAAAATTGAATTGGGGATGCCCTTTTCAAGGAGTTTCTCTCCTGTATTTTGGCTCTAACCTCTCCAATGACACAAGTTGATAGTTTAAGATAAGGCATATGGTTTCTTCATAGGCAGCTCATTTTCCCATCAGGATGGCACGTTAAGTCCAATACATTCTTGGCACATCCAAGAATGCCTTGTTCTGTGCATGGAGAATATCTCTGACAAGTGGGGACACTTGACCAGCAGGTGTCAGCTAAATACCAGCAGGGCAGCCACGGGATCCTCACCTGCTGCCATCCTGCCTGATGACAGCACAGACACTTACTGCTTCCACTGTAATTTTGGGATCTGTGCATCTAATGCTTTTCACAAAGCAGATTCTGCTCTGTAGGGTTGCTAGCAACCTTGCACTGTGTTCAGTGGAGCTAATGCCTCTCCACTCACTCTAGCTTTGAATGCCAGCTGTCCATGTTACCAGGGACATACCAGCAACTTAAATAATGGAGGGCCTGAAAAGCAAATGAGATGCCAGTTTTACAGCAACTGCTGGCATTTTTCCAACCCATGACCCTGAGAAATGTTTCTACAGTGGTGGGATTTCCCCGAGTCCTACAAAGGATCAGGAGCACTTGTTTCTGTTACATGTATTGCAGCAGTCCCTTGTCATCTTACTCATGAAAGATGTCCTAATTCCAGATGGGGCAAATCCACGGGCCAGAAAGGCAGCTCCAAGTGCTTACAGCCTTTCCAGCATCACCTCCATGACTGTGGGCAGGGGACAGTTATCCAACATCACCTCCATGTCCAGTTCCCAGTGCTGAGGAGCAGTTACCCAGACCCTCTGCCCTTGAAGAATGGATGACCTGGCAGCTGGGTCCCTTCACACCAGCTACCCCTTTGTCATGAATGAGCTGTTTGCCCTTTAAACCCAAGCACAGACAGAACAATCACAGCATCTTATGTACCTAACAAAACGAGGCACCACCGGATGTGTGTACCTCTTGGTGTAAATGATAAATACCTTGGTTTATATATTCACATATTCAGAAATCTCTGATGTAAGCCTGAAAGACGCATCAATCCTCATAACACATAATGTGTGCAATTGAAGTATGCCACATTAATAAACAAAATAACATTTTTGTTTATTAATGACCACATTTAGAACTGAGCCACCATGCACAAGTGTCCTGTACAGCAATGAGCTATCACTGCTATAACCTGCTCCCTAACCTCACTAACCCACACTGCAGCACCACTCCAGCTGTCTGCCTCAATCTTTGTTCAGTTAGAGCAATCGTCTCCTCAATGAGAGGCTGTTTATGAGCTGGTATTCATTAACCTCCCTTGCACATTTGCACAGTTTTCAGCATTCTTATTTCTATGAAGCACAGTTCTCATTATCTACATTTTTAAGGGTTTTGTGCTGAGAAAAACCTTCCCCACAGCTATCCGAACAAAAAACTCTGTTCAGACTGCTGGTTAAGTGCTTTGTTTATGACCAAATAAAACCTCAGGCCAGCTGTCAGGTTTTCTTTTTACAGCTAGCAAAAAGTATTGCTAATTGTCTGGGCAGCTGATAGCTGAATGGGGGTAGAAATGTATAAAGTCATAGAGACTGCAGTGGTGAACCCTCAGGGAAAAGTTTGGAGTCCTGGTTAAGCAGGAAGCTTTGTATTGTATGAAAATTTGAGAAGAGGTGAAAATGAATGCCAGATAGCCAGAGGATTCTGAAGAAAGAACTCTCCTCAGTGATGGACAACCTCCTGTGCAGGGTACATCACTTGGGTAGGTGACACCTAAGGACTGGATCCCCACTGTGTGAAGTCTCCTGGCAGCTTTTTTAGTTAGACAAAGCACAGAGGATAACCTCTTGGAGCCACATGAAAATACAGGCACCTACAAAGTACAGTTCTACTTCTGCCTTTATGTCTCTCCAAATTTTGACTGTCTCTTTTAACCATCCCACTGTGAAGTTAAATAACATTTCCTTGTTTTTACCTTCAATGAGTAAAGTGTTATAAGTATTTTCAGATTTACTGAGAAATCACAGGCACCCTGTTGTCCAGATATGGAAGTCTTGACTGGGAGCCCACCAGTTCAGGACTATCCAAAAAGTGAGGAATGGCCTGAGACTAAAAAACAGAAGAGAGGAAGGGGGTACTCCTACCCTGAGGGTTTCCCTGGATTTCTGAAGAAGGGGTGTAACACAGATAGGAATATTGCTGAAGTGCTTAGGAATACAAAAGGAATGTAGAGCTGAGAGCGTAGCCAGGACAGTCTAAGACTAAACAAAAACAAGGCTGGTAAGAGATTCAGATAACAAACTGAATTAAATTCAAGCAGCAATACTCAGAAGTTTCTAGCTATTGTGGGAGATAATTTTGTAGATGTGAAGCTTTCATTAGAAAAACTGATTCAGCCCAACAAGTAACATACCACATCCCAACATGGGTATGTGATATCCAGGCATTTGACTGCATAATCAGAAGAAATTATGTAGATGACAACTTTTCATCAGCTTCTAGATAGAAATGGCTGATAAACTTCAGCAAAATGGTTGGGTTTTAAGATTAATTCCAAATTGTTTTTAGTGAAAATAAAAATGTCCCTTTAAACTATCCTACAAATCCTACTTGACTAACAACAACATAAAAGGCCCTTAACTTTCAGCTACTAGGAAAAACTTTAAGTTATCTGTAAGATTGAACCATATAAGAAAAAAAATCAGTATTGCACAAACTTCTTCAGGACAGTTTAAAGCTACATGGTTTGTGTATATGAAAAAAAGCTCTACCCTCTAACAAATCAATTTAATTTTTCATCAGGTGACAACATTCTTTGCCAGTCCTTTGTAAGAAAGAGCTTTCTAATCTTTAACTATAGATGATCTCAATTAAAAAACCCCACATAAGTTCTTCTTCACTTAGAACAACTCATCTATTCAAAATGAGCTTGATTGTTAAGCAGTTAATTTCTGCTTGCCTTCCACCCTCCAAACTCCCTAAAAGAGCAAACATGACTCACCTTACTTAAAGGCATTATCTGAGATTTCCACAAAACTGGCTTTTTCCCACTTTTGTTTCCTGCTGGTTGCTTAAGGAAGAGTGTAGCATACAGTGCAACACAAGGGGACCTCCAGGTGCTAATTACACATAGCCAGCCTTCAACTCTTTGGAGGTACACAGGGCTTTGCAAAGGCAAGGTCAAAATGTCTGGAAGTTCCCAGAAGAGGAGAATGACTGAGTTGTAGAGAAGAACAACTGAAGACTGTCACACAAAATATAGTAGCATTGATTTTTGTCTTCACTTTCTACTCTCAGTTCCCTTCTCTTTGTGCAAGAGCTCTGTCATTTTTGCCACTCTATACTGCTCACAGTCAAAATACTACAACCCCAGACAGGAAGCGTGAATGATGCTAGACGAATAAATTCCACACTGTTCATAACTTGCTACATTATGACTCTTCCAAAACCCTTCACTCTGTTCTAAGACATGCCTTTAGTTTAAGTATTAACAAAATGATACTGTTTAGGGGTGGGTTTTTCAAGATGTCAATAAACTGTGTTGAAACACAGTCACTGTACAAGTGATACTCTCACTCATAATAAAGTGAGCAACTTTCATAGCAGATCTACTGCGAGGACTTCCTGACTGCTAACAAATCAAATGCAGCAAGCAATCCACTTCCCCTGTTCCCCTCCTGAAATAAACAAGGTAGTTTTCTACACACAGGATCTGCTTATAAAGAGACAAAACTAATTCTAGATGATGACAATGTGAGAGTAAGGACTCACATGCTATAATGGGAAAGCTGTTGTAAAAAAGGAAGCGAGTGTGTGAATTTAAAACTGAACAGATAACCAAACCAGGTGTTTTTATAAGCATTTCTAAAACAGGCCAAGCTAAGTCATACAAATGCTTTCTGAGTCTGAAGAAGTGTTCACACAGGAAACTATTACAACTACTTAATCACGTACAAGCCCGTGCTGACAACCCCCAAGTCCCAGCAAAAACAAGCACAGAGAAAGAAAGTTTACAACTCAGCAAGGTTTGTTTAACTTTGACATTCCTGCTGTCAAAAAAATGGCATATCAAACAGCGAAGTCACACCACTCTGAAGTAGAATGAAGCTAAAATTGGACCTGTCTTGACTGATGTACTTAATCAGATACTGCAGCTGAGCGTCTGCTGCTCATTACCATTCAGGCTGTAAAGATGGAATGAGAGATGCACTGGGCACCAGGAGGTACACAGAGAACAATGTCGTGGGAGACATATGCCTGAAGTTGCCAATGTTCTGTCTCAGTGATTGTCCTTCTGCCTGAATGTTCTTACTTTTTTACCCAGGAATTAAAACCAAGACAATAAGGGACAATTAAAATTTATAGCTGTGTCAGATGTTTTCCTAGGAGTACATTACTCCACGTAATTTGAACTTTCCATGTTCATTCATTTGGCAACTTTAGTGTCTGTTGCTTCTTATTTTGGTGAAAACATTAATGAAATGGATTAGAAGAATAAGGTGACATTTCTATGAATTAATCTAGCTCTTGGTAAAATGGCATCTGAATACAATTTAACTTGAAGCAGAATTCCATTAAAATTTAAAGAAAAACAAGTATCATCTAAAACAGAATACACTCACTGTGAAACAAATTTGCAGACTACAAATTGCCAGTGAATTATGTTTATGTAATAATGTATCTTACTAAATCATGTAGGAACTGCTAACCTAAAAATAATAGA